TTTCATACATTTTGGATATTTGTTATCCGGGATGAAAGCGACATGGTAAGATTCTGATGATGCCTTCCAGAGTTGCAAGGAAAAAAAAAGATTGTCAGAACACTTAGAATAATTAAAACCTTTCTTGTTAAAACACAGCATTTTTGGAAACATGAACCCCTAGGCCCGCTGCTACAGGCAGTACAAGTAGCTCAGGATTAAGCAGTATAAAAACTTCAGAATGTCTCAGCAATTGAATTTTAAAGAACTGAAAGTCTGAAAGTCTGATATCTGCAAGGCTTTACAAACCACAAGATCCTCAGAATTTGTTCTTAGGACAGCTTTATTGGTACGCATGCCTTGGAAGCTTCAAATGCTTTTTTTGTTCATCTTTTGGCTTTTTTTTTCCCCTTCTCGTTAGAGTACACAGAAGATGACAGATATTACTAGGCTTCTGGCAAGTTCCAGGCTGCTGGGATTGATGTGTTAAACATCTTTCTTTAACAAAGTATTTCACTTGGTTAAGTGCACACTTTAAAGAACTGCATGAATTTTGAAAATGCTGTGAGTAAAGGCATAGGTGAGCTTCTGTCTAGACTGTGAAACGTTCTTTGAAGTTGAAAAAAAACTTAAAGGGAGAGGTTAAAGGATATCATCTGCCAGTCTTCCTTCCCAATTTTCTTAATAAAGAATTTAATTGTAATATCTGAACTTGTAATTAGTTTCTAAAGTTTTTCTTGACCGCACAATTTTCCATTCTCCCTCTGGAAAACACTTTGTGTCAGGTTGGCCTGTGTGATGCCAAGCTTCTCCTTTCCTGACAACAGGGAACCATGCAGGTAATTTTCTTAGAGAAGTCTGTTTGTTTTGCTTTGCAGATGATCTGAAACTCACTTGAGGAAATTGCAAGCTGTTTGACGTGTTTTGATTTCCTGTTCAGCAATTATCAAAGATCATCATGTGCTTATAAGTGTTGGAAACAGTGGTAATGGATCTGTTGTCAGATAACGTTGTGGATAAAGATTTTAGATTGGTCTACTAAAACTAAAATCATTGCCTGACAAAGGAAAGGACATTTTCCTTCCAGATGATGTTTACTGTTCCTAAAGGATGGCTCTGAGTAGGTGAGTCTGTACTGGGGGAATTGTTCCTTTTGTTTTTGGGCCTACAAATTGAAGACTGAAGAACAGGATTGGATTCTTCTTCCTGACGCTTCTAATGTGTTGTATCTCTTGTTATTGCCGTCCTTTCCCTTTTGGGCTTTATCTTTCACATCCAGTTCATCTTTCTCCTTTTTAAGGTTTTATATAGTTTCCCCTCGTTCCTGCAGTTTCCTGAGGCGCAAGATCAGCAGCTACACAATTCAGGATGCTTCCTGATCTCCCTCTCTTGTGTGTTTATCTTTTGAGATCTTCAGAGAGCATCTGAAGAACTAACTATGATACATATCACTTCATCTGTTTCATTATGAGGACTGTTCATCTTGGTCAAAGATGGAAATTTTCTAGTCTTTCTAACTGGCAAGTTGTCAATTCATCGAGAATCGAGCATGGCATTAGAGATATTTTTTTTAAAGGGAATGAATTGTTTTTCCCTGGGTATTCATACTTTCCCACTCCTGCTTATGCCCACAAATGGAAACTGAAGTCATGAGGTCACAGTGCTCCTCTTGCTGCAGAGCAGTGAAACTAGGAATACCTTAATGTTTATTTCCGTTCACCAGTTCATTTTATTAGTTCAAGCACAATTGTATTTCATGCAGCTTTTTTTTTTTTTTTTTGATGTTTTGCACTTGCAACACAGTTAAAAAAAAAAAAAATTAAAATCTTTTGTCTTTGCAACATAACCAGCATCCCAGCAACGAATTGACCAAGAGAAAGCAGGGGATTTGACCTCATTAAAATTGACATGCTGATAGAAGTACTGCAGGGATAAAGCTTGTCTTAATGCAAGTGCATTATGGAGCTCTCTCTACAGTTGTCTTATTGCTGTATTTAACAACAACACAACTTGGCCTAAGGTAGAAGGGAACATGTTTAATTATTTCGAAAGGTTGTGAATGTGTTCATCTCATAAGTCTACAGCATGGGAATATTACTTAAGGCTGTGTGGTTAATGCTGTACTGAAATCTGAGTTTGATATCTTAATTGGCTATCTTTAGTTCATAGTGCTGTTAAGATTGTGCTCTTAATGCCCCTTCTTACAGGCTCCACAGATACTTACAGAAAAAAAATGCAAACTGAAAGAAGCTATTGAATTTTCCTTTATATACCAGAATGTGCAATAGATACAAACCAGTTTTTCTCATCTTTGATGTACCCTCTTGGCTCTGAATTGTTTTTTGTGCACGGTTTGGAAATAAATCCAGAATTGCAGATTGAACTGAAGTAATTAATGAAACGGAATCGTGATCTGCGCATTTTTCTTAAATCAAGGACACCACAGGAATTAGTATTTGTATTATCATGCAGGCTTCAAAGTTGTGATACTGAGAAACTTTCTAAAAACCCCAGTGCAAGGTGCTTGGTTTCATAGTCCTTCCTTTTCTTGTTCTTACCTACCTGACAGAACCATCAGGTTCCAGGTGAGGACTCAATATCATCATTTTCCCTTGTGAAAACAATGCAGAAAACCAAAAACATGAACAGTTTTCCCCTTATTCTTTCTTGTAATCAGTTTAGTTTCCATGGGAATGTTAAGCAAAGATCACAAGTGTAGGTGAGGCTATTTCTCCCAATTAAACAATTGAACTTGCCCTAACCCTGTGTGTACCTGCACATGCAACTTGCTGGTAGCTCACCTCTGACACTTGTACAGGTTTCAGCAGTTTCCAGTTGCACACCGGAAAGAAATGTAAAGAACACGTCCATGTGTGATACAAATGCAATCACTACTTCAACGCTAAGATTTAGCACTGTGCAACTGTTTTTTCTTTCGTAGTTGAAATGCTAGCATGAAGTCGTCTTGTATACCTGCATTTCTCAGCTCTGTACTCAAGGCAGATATGATGCAGACTGAACATGAACAATGAATGTACTCTTACAAGCTGCTGTTTCAGGTGGGTTTGCGGCTGCTTTTGAAACTGCCAGAAACTCCAAACTTTCCTTTGCTTAGAAGAAGAGTCTTCAAGCTTCTTGTAAAGCATGGAGCAGGTCTCTTCCCATGTATCCTTGAATGTTTTGGTTTTCTTCAACCATTGTCTTTTTTTCTGCAGCAAAGCAAAGCCTGTGTATATCTGTCCTGTAGTGAAAGAAGGATAGATGCAGGGAAGTGTAGAAGATTTAACATATTTTATTTACCTCTTAAGGTTAGGTCACTGTTTTAAGATTGTGCGCCAAGTCTGTAAGAAGTTTGTGGTGTGGGGTTGAGTAACCATAGAGATTGAGCTCTAACACATTGATTTTCTGGTAACCTATTGCTTAAATTCACAACTTTAGTATTTAATATGTCTATGGAATATACTTAATCTTTAAATACATGTTTTGCTTATACACTCGACTTGAAAATAGCTCATGGAAGTAAAGCAAGTTTTTGAGCGCTATAAAAATTACGTTTTAATAAATGACTCTCAAAGCCACTTCTACTATATGTAAAATACACTGTAGGATTAAGTTAACCTCTTATCCATACTACCTCTAATATGAAGTTTGATGTTTGAAAGCCTTGGTGGGCGTTTGTCTCCCTCTGCCCACTGAAGCCTTAAGGGAAATGTTGTGAAGGTCTCAAGTTGTCTGGTTTTCCCTTTGTGCTACCTTCATGCTAACCTTCTGCAGGAGATTGATGGCAGGGAGGAGTTGGTGGTTATAGGAAATAAATGTATGTGATTAAGATGTCTTAGGTCTTCATTCATTGCTTGATGCTGTAGTTTTATTGAGAGCCTAATTTTCAAGGTAAATGGTATTGTGTGGAGTTTATTACTCTCTTGTGATAAGCAGGGAGAGAAAAGTTGGTAACAGTGGGCAAAGAATAAGGTAAATCTTCCTTCTATGAACTGTGATGTAGATTTTCAGTATTGTCACGCAAGCTGGGATACGAGAAACAGGAAAATAAGTTTGTCTGTGGAGGTGCATATACTGATAATTGAAGAAAAATAAAATGGCAATTTGAACAGCAGTCTGAAGTTGTGTTGTTAATAGTGAGGATACTTGAAGATGTTCTGACTGCTCCATTGCTTAAAATAAGCATTAAAACACAGTGTGTATATACATGCATACTATAATATTGTGTATTATAGGTGAAACAAAGCTTTTTGGCATAGATGTGCAAATGTAACACTTGGCTGTTGGTGCGCTGCGACATTTTTACTCACAAACAACTGTGACAGAGCTCTGCAGGCATGTGTTGTGTGTGCCTGCAGAGCAGCTCGGCTCAGCACTCATGGCTGGTGCTGCTGGAAGCAATGCAGCAGCAGTGTGCAGGCTGGCTGGGAAAAGGAGCACTACTGCGAGTGTGCGCTGGAGGGCTCTGCAGACTGTGAGGAATGGAGCAGAAGCAATTTCGGTTGAAGAATGTATTTTAACTAAATTGGTGTGTTGTACCTATGTGAGGTTTAATGCTTGCTGGGCTATTTGCCATAATTGGCTTTCCATTCCCTTGATTGGAATCATAGATAAAAATTTGCTAATCCACTTTCTTTGCTGAAAGTATTAGAAAAGTAATCCATCTTTTAAAAATGCTCAGACAAAATCATGCGGTATAAAGAATATTTTATGAAATAATGAGATTAATGAGAACTGTGAGGCATGTGCAATTTAAAACAGTTTTCTATGGGGAGCATAAAGCGGGTTTTAAGGGAAAAAAACTCAACCCAGGCATTCTAAAGCCATAAGTACTTCCTTTTTTATGCACACGGAAGACTGTATTTTAAAAGCACATTACATGTTATCCTTTTGTCTGTGCGATAAAATACAGGTATATATCAAGGAAGAAGAAACTGCTATTTATTTGTATTTGTCTTATGTTTGAAAATGTCTGATTGAAAGTCTCTGGCTTTTCTCCCTTCCCCCTCTTCTGCCTGCAGGGGATCAGAGCACGCATTCTAGAGACGCTGGTAATGCTCATACTTCTTGCACTGCTTATCCTTGGAATCGTATGGGTGGCTTCAGCTCTCATAGACAATGATGCTGCCAGTATGGAGTCTTTGTACGGTATGGAATTTTGAAGAACAACCAAATAAAAGACTCCTTTGCATTAGCTTTTATTCTGTACACAGATGTTTTCTTTTAAATTTATTTCTACGAAATGCTATCTGACTATTACACAGATTGAGAAGTTGTATTAATTTAGTCAATAACTTTTTTCCCTTTCAATAAGTTTATTAGACGAGTTTTCGGTATGCTGATACTTTACATGCATGGGTGGACAAGGTGTTGGATGTGTATGATAAAAACAAATGATTTTAGTGGCATAGGAATCAAAGCTGAAGATATTTTTCAAGTTAAGTGCTACAGGATTTTGTTGCCTGCAAATTTGTTAACTGAGTAATTCTTAGTTTACACTTCAAAATACAGAAATTCTTCAATCCTGAGGAAGAAAGCTAAGGGAAAGGAGTTACTTTGGCTGTATTTGTGACATAAGTAGCCTATTTGTAATAAGCTAAAGCTGTGCCTATTGTATTTCTTGCAGACCTCTGGGAATTCTACCTCCCATATTTATATTCCTGTATATCACTGATGGGATGCTTGTTACTTCTCTGTAAGTATTTTCCTGATTCTTTTTCAAAAGTGTAATTTTTTTTATTTTTAAAGATTGAAGGAAACTTTTTCTTTGTGAAAGTTGGATGTGAAAAATTGTGTATTTTTATAAGTTTAAATTTTGGTTTAAATTTGATAAGTTGGAATTCGGAAGTTTGTAAACAAATGCAGTGTTGCATTTGCACCTGCAATTGTAATTTCTTAAAGCAGATGTTTGAAAAGGAGGGGCTCTCATTCTGCTTATGAAAACACAGTTTTTACATGAAATGTCAGCAAAACATCACCAGTACAGAGTGAAATTAGAGCACTTAGTTTGTCCTGTGTTCAGTAAACTATGCTCTTCCTGTTTTTAATTGAAAATATTCCTGTAAAGGCAAAAGTTGGAACATAATACAGTTAATCCAGGACTGGTATCAGGTTGGTATGCAGTTGTATAGCAGACCTCCAGACAAAACAAGCACAGTTAGAAACCAGTCTTATTCCAACTAGTCCTAGCAGAGTTCCATCATCCCTACTTAGGGGAATAGGAAGGATGACAGGATGCTCCAAATCAGACTTTGCATCAGGGCTCTTTTCACCTCCACTGCCCACATGTTATTTCTTTAAAATAAAATGAAAGAGAGAGTGTGGGGAGCATCAGGACATCTCCCTTGCTATAAATTGTGATTTCACCTATTCTCTGATTTTGAGAGGTTGGCAGTTAACATTTGCAGAACTGTTGTTACAGAGAAAAGGTGGGGATTGGTACTTTGAGACATTTGCTTAACCAAGAGTGTCAGCCTGGGAAAGGTATTGCTTGGAGAACTTAGTGGATCTCCTTAGGTTCTTTGTATGTGGCGATTCTAAATCCCATGTTCAGGGAGTAGGGAGTGAAGGTGGGGGGAAATAAAACTTGTGATTCTGATTCTTACTCATGAACATTTGGGATATTTGAGATGAAATCTTTCAGTGGGGAACTTGGCTTACAAAACTTCCTATGTGTGTCTTGCAGTTTATTTCAGTGGAGCTGAAAACACAGAGTGTGTTCTGGGAATACACATCATAATAATTGGCATTAAATGCCATTTTTTGGAGTTATTTTGAATTCATAGAGCCAAATCACTCCAGTTAGTCACAGCCCTCCAAGCTGTTATGAGCGTAACAGAAAAGGGCAACTTTCAGTAGTTGAAACATGGTAGATGCTGGGGTAGAGCTTTATTAGAACTTCAGGTGGCCTAATTGCTGAAGCAATGTACCAGTAAGGAAATGACAGGCTTATTGCTGGGATGATTTGCAGCAGTGCTACTTTTTCTTTTCTCTTTTGCCTGCAGGCTCTCTCTTTAGTCAAGGAAGACTAGCTTAAGTTAGCTATTGTGAATGCTTCTTTATTTCTGTGATATATAGTAGTTGTAGCGTTGCGCTAGCTAATGAAAGCAAATGTAATCTTCATTATAACATCTTGTGTGCTGCATTTCCCTTTTTAACAGCATTTATGATAATGTGAACTATAAATGTCCAAATTTATGTTGTTACATACAAGTCCTTTCCATCTCCTTCAGCCTTCAGTATTTGAAGGCTAGTCTTCCTAACACTTGATAATAAAAAATTAATTGAATAAAAGTCAGATTGAGCCTTTCTCCCAGGAAACTTACGTGCTCCGTATCTGGAGGCTATCACAGGTGATCACTGTCAAAAAGGAAAAAATTGTTATTTCATAGAAAAGAGAGCTTAAAATCTTACGTCTGAGCCTACTGTCAACTGAAGTTGCAGTGTGATTTTACATCTTTGTGATCTCTTACCTTACAACTGCACCTGTGAGAGCAGATTGAATGTCTGATGTTCACCAGCACAGTGGCCACTATGTCATTCCATCCACACAAATGACATTGCGTTTTCTAGAAGCTGACTGTATGCATATTGCCCCAAGGTAATGGTTCCTAGGCTGCATGAGCTCCACAACTACCTGGGAATTGTTTGGGAAAATACAAATTGGCTGAGGGCAAACTCATGGTAGAGATAGTTAACAGCAATTTACTTGTGTAGGCAATGTACCCTGAGCACCCAGGAATGTCTTCTGGCACTGCTGATTTCACTAGAATGGGCATAGCCTCTGCTGTCATAAGTTTGCTCACAGGATTATTTATTCAAAGTATAAGATCTCTCACTATAAGGGATTTCCATGGTGACAGAAAATCAGTTGTGCCCTTGAAGGAGAGATGCTTGTCTTGTTCAGAATTGATATAATAGCAAAAGGTTTTAAAGCTCAGAGTGTAGTTTGAAGATCTTTCAGTTATCTTGAAAACTGTATGTGGTTGCATGTGGAGTGTTAACATATTTCATGCAGAACATGCAAAGAAAAGCTAGTCTTTCACTTAGAAATGACTGTTTTATATAATGTTTCTTCCTCTGCAGTATGCACGCCAGTGGGACTTTCACGGATGTTTACAGTAATGGGTCAATTGCTGGTGAAGCCAACAGTAAGTGTTACACAAACCTGTCCTTGTGTGCTGTCTGGGAGAAGGTACAGTGGCATTTTGGTATTTTCCTGCAGAACACTTGTGCTGCTATATAATTCTCTCTTTAGTTTATCTGAATTCCTATAGTCGTTACCTATATACTTGTTCTCAGTTTTTTTTCTTACAGCACAATAGCCTGCTTTTCTCAAAGAGCTTTCTCTAACAGTATAGACTTCCTCTGATGTTAATATTAATGCACAAGTGCTAATATTAATTGCCAATATAGCCTACTAGTGCCTGAAAGGTGTCTTCTTGTTCTGAGCTCAAGAGGTAAGGATACAAGAGCAGAGAGGTACCTGGGGGTACACTTAGCTAAGAGAAATTGGCATTGCCTGAAGGTAGCTGGCAACTGTGAGGAATTCTTAAATGTAGATACTGTATTGTAGTTGTGCTGAATGATGTGATGGAATGGAAAAAGTCTGTACCATGGGCAGATGCTCTAGTGACCTTGCTGTCATGTTTCCTAGTTTGTGTTTACTAAAATCTGGGTGTGTTTAGGTCTTTCATTTCTTTTCATTGGTCAGGGCAACTTTGAAAATATAAAGAAAATGTATACGACTGTTTTGCTGCTTGTAAGCTTTAAATTCAAAGTGCCTGACATTAATATAGATAGGCTTCTTGGAAGCTAGAAACAAAATACAACAGCAATTTATTTGCTTAAATGACTGGTTTTAATTTACTTTTTCAAGATCTGCTGTTCATTTTGTTTAAATCGAATTAGAAGTGAATGTCAATAGGTTGTGAGCGTAGGTCACTGTAATGTCCCATTCCCCTAATATCCTTAGGCTGAGAGTAAATGTAAGAGTCTTAACCTGAAATAAAAACGTAACAGTTTGCTTGCAGCAAAGAAACAGATACGTAACAGAATGGTATCATCTCCTATGGAGTTTTCTTGTATTGATATTTTTAAGTTGTAGAATATATATTCAAAATAAAGGTTACTGGAACAAAACAAGCCTGAGTAAATCAAAAAGGTGATTCTTTCTGTTGGTACTCAATCAATTCATATTTCTGTTTCCAAATACAGATTCTTGAGGACCTAGATGAGCAGATGTATATCATCACTTTAGAGGAAGAAGCAATTCAGAGGAAGCTTAATGGTATGCTTGTTCTGCTGCTGCTTAAAATACAGTATTTAGAGTACAGTGCTCCTAGTTATGAGTATTGATCTCAGTGTTAGATAGGCTCCTCTCTCAAAAGAATTTGAGATCTTAGTACGAAACAGTCAGTATAAGCTTACAATTAATTGCTTACTGTGTTCAAGATTAGCTTGTGTGTTTTGTTTGTTTTTAACATATTCGTCAGTGCTAATATGTTAATATTCAGAATAAGAAATGAAACAGAAGTTGACCAAACCTACCACCCTTGCTGTAAAAATACTTTGGATTGATAAACAATTGTATTTTATCCCTTTGCAAAGAGCAGTAACTTATTCTGCCATCAGAAGGCTCGATGTCTTACACTGTCGGTTCTGTTTATTTGCAGGAATTTTTGTTGTTGTTTCAATTGTTTAATTAATTGTTAGCATAGAATCTATGTATTGTAGGAGTTCATTATATTCTAGGAGCTGTATGGTTAATTTAATTGTTGCTATGCATCCATTAATGAATAATTACAGAGAATAAATTATAAGTATTTAGAGCTTTTTGATGTTAGTATTACAGTTATGCCATTCTTGACAAAGTGTTCATGTTTCAAAGTATTTTAAAAGCAATGTGAAACTTTAGCTTCTAAGATAAAGAATATTGCAGCATAAGAGATGCAAGTTATGGAAAAATGTGTCAGTTGTAACTCTTTAAATCTAGAAATCACATTGTACATTTCTTTTCTAAATTGCTGTTAGCTGCATGGGTAAGTTATTGATCCACAATTTATGCAGTTGTTTCAGTTTGGAAAAAAGATTTTTCATGTCATGGCTTTTATCTGCTATTGTCTTCTCTGGAAGATGTGACTTATTTTAGCTTTAATTTTCTTCATTTCTTACCTTTCTTTTCTACTCTTCAGTGATACCTCAATCTTTTCTTTCAGTTCTCAGTAAGTCTCTGGTAAAAGTTGATCAGGGAAGGGATCTTTGATAACAGTAGGCAATGGTCCTTGTTTCAACATTTAAAATGGGAGGAGGAGTAATCAGGCATCGTTTCAGTTTAAAAGTAACATTTGCATTTGCTGTTTTGGAAGTTACTGGTTTTAATACTGACATGTATGTATGCATATATATGCATATACATACAAGCATGCAAAAAGATGCTTGGAGTGAATATCTTAGAAGCTATGATGGGATAATTATAATTTTGTGTGTTTGATGTTGGCTAGCACCTGTAAAATATTTGTTACTGAATATTTTATGTTGTCATGGTGATGGTGCTTATGGATGAGAAAAAGCAATACAGAAGATGAACAAATGAAGTTATTCAAGTATCTATTATAAGTAGTGCAGAGTGGTTTTCGCCACTGAGGAGGAGAATGTAATTTAGATGATGGCTGTTTTTCTGTGTTGATGTCTGTTGCAATCACTTCTGAGATGGATCTACTAGAAACCTTAATTGGACCTACATTTTGGTCTTCTTGCTAAGGAAGTCACCTGTGCTAGCAGAAAGATTGGGTCTTTTTTGATGAATTGTTTGGAATCCAGCATAAAGTAGAACTGCAATCCACACATATCTCATAGAGCTGGAGAGATGAATGATGTGATGCTTAATTCTTCTTAGAAGAGGGAACTGAATTCTTCTGCTTCACATGCTGAAGGAATGATGTTGACACTGCTATCTGGAGAAAAGCTCAGGAACATATACTTCAGTATACAGAGAAAAATAGTGGACTTAAGATTTTATCTGCTTTTTAGCTTAACTTCTAAATAGCGTGGAGGTGGATGTTTCATGCACAAGGCATTCTGCAAGATTTCTGTGAGTAATTATTTAAGTAATTAAGTACAGTTCTCATTTATGTGGCAAGGCTGGAAAGTTTCATCCTCTCTGCCAGAAGTCTTTCTAAGACACAAATTACACCGGGAAAATAGAGTCCGTATTTCAGAGGATCACAGAATCATAGGGATTGGGAGAGATCTCTGGAGATCATCTAGTTCAAACCTTTGCTAAAGCAGGTTCCCTAGAGAATTTCTGTGTTCCAGCCAGAGCCATTTGCTTCTTCTTCTGGCACTGGGCGCCACTGGGAAGAGCCTGGCCTCATCTGCTTGACTCCTGCCTGTTAGATATTTATAAGCATTGATAAGACCCCTCTTCAGTCTTCTCCAGACTGATCAGCGCCAGACCTCTTGGCCTTTCCTCACAGCCTTAAACAGTACTTGGTGGTTATCAGTGCTGATTATTTTGTGGTGGAATAATTGCTTTCACACCTAGTATTACTGTGGTCAGTCCTAATTAATGTTTCCTCAGACAATGCCAGGATGTAGTCAGGGGTTAGCATGAATCTCTGTTCAGACAGGGTTGGCTGGGTAAAACATCTCTTGAAGAGTTTGGCTGTGTGAGCTGTGCCCTTCTTTCTCAGTGTGGATGTAACTATTGTGGCTGTGGTGTAATTGATAAAATTTTATGTAAACCTCCTCTTATTTGAACACAAATCTATCTGGGAAACTGCTTGTTTTCTTTGTGAAAATTAATTTTCTCCCTTCTCCAGTACCGAAGTGAAAATTGGAGGGGGAGAGAGGGAGGGGTTTTGATCACGTTATCTACCCTAGTATTTTTATCTGTTGAAGAGATACTGGGATTTGGGAAAATGTTTGTTTCCAGTGTATTATATTTCAGTACCCACATCACTCCTACAGTTGAAGAATAAAGCTGGGACTTTTTTATATTAAAAGAAAAAAGTTGCCTTCAGCTATTAGTTTTCCTGAATCCAAAGAGACGGGTGGGGTAGGATCAAAAATACTTACTTGATCAAAGTTATTGGCTCTGAAGGTATCCTTACTTATGTAAGAAAGATGAAAGGTGTTGTTTTTATTGCACGCTAGTAACAGTGTAATTTTGAACTAATTGGTGTTGAACTGCCAATCACCTAGGGGGAATGCAAATAGATACTCTTACAATTTCCTTTGAGGTACTGAAATCTTATGTCGGGGCTGGAAGAAAAACAGAATAATACCGTTAAATTGACCTTAAATGAGCTGCTTTGTGGCTTTCTTGGAGAATCCCTTCTAACTTTTCATTGCTAGTCCAAACAAGTCTTGTCTACCAATTTGATTTATTGGCTAGACAGCGCTGACATTGAACTTTGTGCATGTTTGAAATAAAGCTAATGGTGTAGAGCTTTTAAGAATTTAGCTGCATCCTTTTCAAACACTCTTTTGACTGATCTGAAACTTCACCTTCCCTGCTCATAAAATATCCTTTTGTATAGTAACCTGTTTGCTACTTTTAAGGAGGAACCACAACAGCACTTAGATACGATTCAGAATATGTATGAAAGTGTCTCATTAGGGATCTAATTTGATTATGCTGACTTTGTTGGAAAGACTCCCATAGATATCAGTCTTGAGCTCTGAGTACTTATATTGAAAGGGAAAAAGCTGCATGTACCTCAAATAAAGGCTTCCCCTAGAGTCCACTAAGTCAATTATGGAGAGGAGAATATTAGATGCCAACTTTTCTTATTTTAACTGCTTCCATTAAGGTTCTGGAAACTTTTTCCACTGAATTCTAAAGCTGTGTTCTTAATTCAACTTACAGTAATTAGTTGTTCCACAAAACACTGTCTTAGGAGTAGGAAATGCATCAGCTTATTTTTATAATGATGATGAGACTTGTTTAAAAATTAAAACAAACATGCAGAGCAACCTTTGTTCTTAAAAAAAAAATCTGACACAAAACACCACCATATTTTGATGACTGTTTCATTTCTCAACATATATTTTAAATAATGACCATTGCAGACGCTTCAGTTCAAGTCAGTGAAAATTGTTAGAACAAACAGCATTTATACATCTTTGTGGTAAGTGCTAGGATTCAAGATCTTTATAAGATTCGAAGCCAATATAAATATTATCATATCAGTGATACAACGTGCATAAGAAAGATAAATTCAAACATCACACATTTTTGCATATAACACATTTCCTTTGTGTTAAAGAAACATGTAGTGAAACATTTCAGAAATGGATTTCTGAAAGACTTTTGTGCTGAAAATTTCTGCATTGAAAAATTCCTACTCAATGTTTCACCAAAAAAAAAAAAAAAAAAAAATTAAGAAATATGCTTGTTTATTTTAATGTTCATTTAGCATGTCACATAGCAGAATACTGCAAGAATATGAAGGGTGGAGGATGATAAATTTATCTTCTTGCCTTGTACTGAAATTGTTAGACTGATCAATAGAGAAGAGAAAATAAGGAAACAGTGAAACTGGACCGTAAAGTAGTGTTAGCATGCCAGCAATCTATGTGCTATCTAGTTTTTGTAGGCAAATTATTGAGATATGAGATAAAAGCCTGTTCATGCTATTAGTCTCATGGAAATTTATTAGCATTAAAAAAAAAAAACAACAAAAAAACATCTGGAATATTATGCTATTATAGGTTAGCCTGCCATCAGAGGTGAGGCCAAGAGATAGCCAGCAATTGGAGTCAAGGGTAGAAACCTAAGTGTGCTTGCACTGGGAAGTTTGATTGGCTGAAGGAGAATTGGAGGTTGAAAAGGATGGAGAGGAAAGATGGGCTGACTTCCCTAGACCTACCTGAGGGAGGGGAGAAAGACTTGATGATTAACCTCTAGGCAGAAGATGAGCATGTCAGAGAAGTACTGATGCTGTTGCCAGTTTTCAGCTGGTGTAGAGGAAGGAGTTTGAGGAATTAGTTATTAGTGACACGTATATGCTATAAACTAAGGAGTGTGAAAGAATGGAATCTCATGGGCGGCTGTGAGGAAGATTGAATTGTTGTTGGCAGGAGCTTTGCAGCACAGAGTGGCTGACTACAGTGGGCTGGTGGTGAAATGGAGATAAGGGCAGAAGGTAGAGGTAGAACAGCAGTATGGAGGCAGAGAGGCTAAGAAAGAGGAAGGAGAGATAGAAGTTGAAACTGGAGGTCCAGTCACCACCTGGCTTAATTTGGGGCAGAAGTGCATTTTGTCTTTAAATTGCTAAATAATAACGCTCTTGAAGGACATCCAGAGATTCTTTGCTTCTTGATATGGTAGTCGTATGAAGGCAAAAGAATGAGGCATACTAGCAATTCTATGTCAGGCTGCCACACCATTAGTGATTTTTAAAAAGTTGTTGAAGAATATCAGAAAGACAGCTGCAGCTTGAACCCACAAGTGTTAATGTCTCCTAAATCTGAATATTCACAGTATGTCCTGCAGTACTATATTTGGTCCCATCCAAAACAAAATAATGTCTTGTGTTTTAAAAGGGATATCTTCCACATTGGAAAACCAGACAGTAGAGTTGGAATGGGAGCTTGAAAAAGTGAAGTGCAAGAAAACAAATCTAGGTAATATGCTTTTCATACTGTTCCATGTGGATTGCAACTTAAGTGACTTTAAGGTACTATGTTCAGTTTGCAACAGTCACCTGATTAATTCCGATTGTTTCTAATTAAATATGTGCATTTTCAGTCCTTTCAAACTGCCGTTGGTTCTAGAATTGCCTTACATGGAATCGTTGTATCTGTCTAACAAATGTTTTAAAAGAGAGTCTGATTTGGATCTTAATTTTAACGCAATTATGAAGAAATTGTAATACTTGGCATCCTGGCATGGAGATCAGTAGCACAATCATTTTTGTGTATTGTGACATTTGTGACTATTTGGCAGCCACCCAGTAGGAGTCTCCTTACTTATTCACAGGCTTGCAATACTTTGCATTTATCAGTGTGCAGAGGTAAGACTGCAGTAAGAAGCTGCTGACTTTTCTTTTTGGTTGTATGGAATGTCAGTATATCCAAAGTATGCTAGTCTCCTATTTTGTCATTTATGTGATAAAAGAAAAAAAAAGTTTAGATATTTAAATTACCCTTGAGTTCACACTGTAGTATACATACAGTTCTGCCCTTTTTTATGTATCTCAATATTCAGTGTAATATTACCTTACAGAAGCACGGCCATTATCTAGAAGACCTTATGAACTGAGTAAACAAAGTGTTTTTAAATTCATTGTAGTTTAACCTCTGCATGCCAGGGGAAAAAATGTTATGGTGGAAATACTGTTAAACAAGAAAGAAAAATTTGCTTCTGTACTTCTCCCTAACTTTTCTCAGAGTAGTCTTCATTTTTGGGCATTGCTTTGTACCTCTCTTCAGAGTGGTTAATATGATGAACTGATTGTGGTCAATTTGAGAGAAGATTACTTTGTTATCTGCATGCAAGACTTTATGGAACCCTAAATAATTGTTGTTTGTTTTACTCTAAGCTGATCGATGTTAATGTGCTTCTGTGTTTCTCTTCTGAACAGAGCGTCGGAAAAAAGCTTCTGCTTGGGAGAGAAATTTAGTGTATCCAGCTGTTATGATATTACTACTGATTGAGACAGTAAGAATTCCAATTTTTAAAAGGAAGAATAATGAAGAATTCTTCAGTCATTTGGGGGTGTTGTTTTAAAAATTCTGGGCGATATCTTTAAGCAATAAACTCAGTACTTCTCCTGATCATTTTGAAAGAACTTACCATTGTGAATTCCAGTGAGGATATACATTGTTCAAATGTGGAATCCTTTTAATTAATTAGATTGTTTCTTCTTCTTCATAGTCCATCTCAGTTCTATTAGTCGCTTTCAACATTCTTTACCTGTTGGTGGATGAGACTGCAATGCCAAAAGGATCAGGGGTAAAGTAAACTTTTCTTACGCAGTTTCTATAGTCTTGGTAACACTTTGGAGACTTTACAAAAGTGCACTTTGAAACTTTATGAAGTTGCTTCTGGGTTTCAGCTCTGCTGAAGCATTTACTACACATCATGATATAGTGAGTTCTTAATAAAACCAGTCCATAATCTTTACAAACATGTAACAGTCAGTCAAGTAAATAACTGATTTGGAGTTTTGCATTTTTCTGGCATGATCTACTTTTATACAGTCTAGAAATGTTCAGTTTAAGGAAAAAAAGAAAGGTAGTAAAGAAACTATACGAAAAGCCTTTCAGATCATTGTGTTCATCTTTCAAAACATGTTTTTTCCTCCTTCATGATGAACAACCAAAAAAACTTTAAGAAAGTAAAGGATAGCATACTGAGTAGTAGTCCTTTTAATCACAAGGGTATGTAAGTTGGTAATGCTTTCCCCTGCCTGTAGCTATATATGAGGTTGCAGAGCTGTAAAAGGCGTTCAGTTTGTTGGCTGTGCTGTTTGTTGCATTGTGAACAGCTGCTCGTCTTTAGCGATCTCCTATTTTAGTTTCTGGAGTTCTCCACTAATATGGTGGATAGATGCAACATGCATGAATTGCAAAACTTTGTAACTTATGCTGCATTTCACTCAAGTTTGAAAGCTAGATGATGCAATTGCAAGGGATGTGAGGCTTGCAGGTTACAGAACATCAGAATGATCCTTAAATAATTAAGAAAAAGGTTTGTTTCATCTAAGATGTATAATTGAACTGTGTATATATGTTGTGTGTATGTTATTAAGTTATGCAAAGTATTTTTCTCCTAGGGACCTGGAATAGGAAATGCATCCCTATCCACCTTTGGTTTTGTGGGAGCAGCACTTGAAATCATTTTGATTTTGTATCCTTTCTTTAAGAATTCTGTCTGTTAACAAGCATTCTGTCTAGTTTTCTGGGACAGTGGTGATTTACTAAGGCGTTTGGAAAGAAGAAAGAGATAGGTCAGTCTTTCTCAAGCACTCGAAGTGGTTTTTTTTTTTTTCCCCCTTCTGGTTCTTAAGACTTTTAGGAGACTGCTGAGGACTTGAGTGAAACTTACATTCTTTGGAGGTTCCTTTTTCCTTGATTCTCACAGCTATCTCATGGTATCCTCTGTCGTCGGCTTCTACAGCCTTCGTTTTTTTGAAAATTTCATTCCCAGGAAGGATGATACAACTATGACAAAGGTAAGGTAAACTCTGTGATGGTGACAGCCCCCTCCTCTCTCTTGCCACCCAAGACAAACTGACTCTTTTGGTTAGTAATTGCCCCGAATGGCTCATTTGCAGTGATCGTTATTTGTTTGTAAGCTGCGTAAACACAAACTGGAAGATTTTCAAAATGCTGAATGAGTGGGAAAAGGGATGTGCTCTGTTTAGTTTGGATGGCATCCATTCACTTGTTAACAAGCTCTGCTATTCCCAGCTTTTTACCAGCTATAGAAAAGCTGGTGAAAGAACTTTTTTTCAAAGGAAATGTATTGCTAATGAGTAACTTTGATTGTGCCTAACTGTACTTCAGGGAGCTTGTTTGAAATCTGAAGAACTTGGTTGCTAGAAGTAATACAGACAGAGTAATTCAAATTTGAATAATTAAACTAAGACTGAGGAGGTCTATTCAGCAACATTTTGCAGTTGGAGGCTAATTTGACTTTCTGCAATTTAGCACTGGCTTGAGTACAACAAATGCTGTTACCTAATGCTGAAGAACATGTTTTTTTGGTTGTTTTTTTTTTTGCAAAATATTCCCAGAGCTGACAAGGGGAGGTGATCAGTAACCAAGGAACAGATGTTGTATTTAATTATATATCAGTGTGTTTCACTATGAAGAAAAGGTATTGGATAAAAATGTTTTTGCCATAAATTATTGGAAAGGGGGAAGTAGGTAAAATGGAGTGGTTATAGTAGATTACTTAGGGAGTTAGAATATTCTTAATGGTTGTATAGTTTGTTTACAGTATACAGAAATAGTATAGAAATAAGTAGTGATGCATGAATATCTACCCTCTTTTAAGGTGTTTGGAGTTCTTTAGAATTGATAGAGTTGGGGCTGAAGAAAGCGATCCTTCCTGAGAGAAAGAAGTTTCAATTACTCTTTATAAAAGGCTTTACCAGAACTGGAGTAAAATGTAACAGCTGTGATTTTTTTCATACTATTTAAAGTGGTCAACAGGCATTCAACTGAAAGGAAACTCTTTGTTGTAATTTTTTCAAACAATTCTAATCCTGCAAGCAGTTACATACAAAGCTTAAGCTGATGTATCAGACATCTACTTAAGCTCATGGAATGGTTCTTTTCTAAACAGTTTGCAGGAATTAAATAGTTGATGCTTTGCAACATAGTAGCTTTGAATCTTAACGCTTTGATTAAAAATAAATGAATACATATTTGATTTTTTTTTTAAACTCTTGGATGATCAATTGTGCAACACCATGTGGAGAGGTGTTACAGAGGTAATCAAGACTACCAACAGGTTGTAGAATTCTTAAGATACATTTTGAACAGTATTTTATGCAATTGTTTTTCCTATATCTTGACCAGATTTTCTTGTTTGTTTGTTTTGTTTGTTTGTTTTGTTTTTCATTTAACGGTCCTGTTTATCATCTCAATGCTATTTGACTTATTCAAACAGATAATTGGAAACTGTGTCTCAATCTTGGTGCTGAGCTCAGCTTTGCCAGTGATGTCAAGGACACTGGGTAAGTGAAGCGTAGAATGTAGTAATACAAAATGTTAGAATAAAGGGCATTTAATAATGGGTTAAAAAAACCCAAACAACTGAGCAGCAAAATGTGTAGTTGTAACTCTCATGCTGTTGTCTGTGTTTGAGACCCTTTCTATAACATGAGCTGTTTATTATTCTGACAAACGTGCATTTAAAAAACAGCAGCAGTGCATTTTCTGGAGAATACTTTTAAAAAGGCAGGTCAGATTTCAAAATTATTGAAAGGAGATGTTGTGAAGAATACATGGTGCATACATACATACATGGTACATACAGGGCAGAAAAAATAGTGTCATGCTCACTGTCAAATTACAGCCCTTTGTTTTTATGGAGAAAATACATTTGAGGATTTCAAATATAAAATGAAGTAACGTTAAGCAGACATGCCTTCTAAAGTAATCTAATGAATCTTTGTTGATTAATTCTGTTTGGCACTGTGATAACCAGGCTGCTTTCATTTTCACTGAATCTTCTTGCACTTTGCATTCCTTCAGTTTTAAAATGCAAATCACACGACTCTAACATTGCAGAATTGAAGCAATTCTCATGTTGGTTTTTTTTTTTTAAAGAACCAGCAGTAGCATTCAAAATGAACAACTTAGCCAGTTGGAAAGACAAGATGTTCAAGGTGTTTTGTATCTTAGTTTTGTTGAATTTGTTCATCTTCAGCTCGAATTCCGAAAGTTAAAGGTCCACAGAGCAGCAACTTGTACTCAGCAGTTCTGTAGCTGATTATTTCCAACCAGAATACAGTCAAATCAAGAGTAACTAGTGTTTTCACTAAGCTATACTGTATAGTTTTGTGGTGTGTATCTACAGATGAGTGTTACGTACTAAATCAGTTCTTTAACATAAAGAGGCGTAACATGATGAATGAGTGAATGACTGCAGTGTAATGCATGTGGGAATGTTGAATCCTAAAGTATGCTCTCTAAAACTCATATCTTAAAAAAAGAAACAAACACAAAACTGTAGCAAAACTCGAAATAAATAAAGGAGTAGGTCAGGTATTTAAGGCAGAGTTAGCACACAGCTAGTTTAAGACCTTTGTACAACACTTCCAGTGCTGAGCAAGATTGTGTTGAAAAATGAGTGTATTAAAATAGAATTGTAACGTTAGGATTGTGTTCGCTGCCTTACTGCAATAATCATTTCTTTGTTAAAAAAAATCATTGTTAATGATCTATGAGATTAACGGTTGATAATAAGTGGTTTCTGTGGAAGAAAGTATACATGCTGGGTGCATTGTTGTCTCGTAGGAAACAGATTAATGGTAAAACTCACTTTAAAAAAAAAAAAAGGCCGACAAATGAAATTCCTGAATAGTTTGCCATAGAGATAAATAAAAGAAGAAAAAAGATGGAACAATTAACACACAGCTAACAAATGCACAGACACAGCTGTCCAAACAGGATTAATAGAGTGTGTTAGAGTACAGTGAGTCATGTGGCGCTTTGCAAAAATATCAACATGTGTTGCACTACATGCTACTGCCCTGTGGGACTGAGAAGGTGAAAAGAAAGAAATATGTTAAGCAGATTCATCGTCTTTTCAGATCATTAAATAAGTAAGTTTCTAGACTGTACAGAAAGCACTAAATATTATTGTTATGTGAAAGATAAAATAGCAAAAGTTATCTGATACGTGTATGGGGCCTTCTTCAAGTCTTAAAGATGGAAATAGCAGAGTTTTTTAATGTTAAACAGTGTGCTTATGTAGATGAGCTGTCTCTAATCTTAGTCCGTGATAGCTTTTACTAAGCTAAACTAATTTTATCAGAGCTTTTCAGCAGTAGTAGTCCTGCTTGAAAATTGTTTCCCACCAACACTGTATTGCTATGAGGCAAATGGAGAACAGGGCACTTAACAGACAGAAATATAGAAACAAAGAATTGTGAACTAAATGGAATTTTCTGATATGATGAAAGCTTTCCCAGAATTCTTCTCTTGCTTGTAATGGTAGAGCAAAACACCGTATGAAACTCGTTTGCAAATATAATTTAAAATAGTGTTTCTTTTTTAACCTGAACAGCTTTTTAAAAAACCGGTTTGTTTTAAGCCTGAACAATTATTTAGTGCTTCATTTGGAAAACTGTTGTGAACTTTCATGGATAAATGTCTACTAGAGCTGCAGCTTTCAGTTCTGAGCAGCTTTTCAAGTTGTGGTCTTGGGAACTCTTTCTTTTTTTTTTCTACAGGCTGTGTAGATTGTGCTTCTGAGGAGTCACAAAAGCTTGTTAACCTTTTCCCCAGCACGCCTACAGAATGACGCTGTCTGATTTTCTCATGAGCAGTGACTTTTTTGTATTTGTAAGGGGAAAATGTGTAGCTTATGTTACAGAAGTGTTGTGCTTCATTTTTGTTTGTCCTTGGAACTCCCACACCATTGCCAGCTATTCTTCTGAACCCCTTTGTGTCCAGATAAATTCACCCAATTTTCTGCCTGTTTTGTTTCTTTTCCTTTGAGGGTCTGGAAGTCTATACATTCAGGTTTGACTTTCTCAGTTTTCCTGTAGCTCTGCAGCTTGAGTAAAACACTCTGCTGCTTTGAAAATATTCTTAAGGGCACTGTTTGGCTTCAAGTGTGAAAACAACTGTTATTTTTCAACTGTTTACCACTTGTTTAGTCAGCTTGTGCTTCATTTCTCTTGCTTTATTTCTACTTGCTTCTCTTTTGCTGTTTTGGTCAACTTTAGGTTGATTTTTTTAAACCTCCTTTATCCTTTCAAACTTTTTTCATTTTCTTCATTGTGTCATGTTTTGCTTGAACCCAAAAGTTGATTCAATTTTTTTTTTTTTCAATTTAAATGACTGAGTACAAGAAACATCTGCCTTCTAATATGATGATGGCTCGCTGAGGAGTCTTGAGGGTCTGAACCTAAACTATGGCACAGTGAGGTTTGTAAGTGCTGAGCTTACCTTTGAAAGGAAGGCAGCTGACCTCTCATTCTGTCTCTTCACTTAGTATTGCTGGTGAAGTTGTAGTTCTCAAAGGCCTCAGTCTTTTCAAAAATAAGATGATAGAAAAATATTCCAGATCCTGCAGGACCACTTCTAGTTTATGATGCCTTTAGTTCTGGTACAAGGTTTCCTTCCTTCACAATGTTAGTCTGAACTGTGAGAACGTGTTGCCATGACATTTTCTGAGTCGAGTTTTTAGGTATGTAACAGCTCATTGATCCTAGACAATCATTATTTGTGTATTATAAAGTCACAGAATGGCTTGGGTTGAAAGGGACCCCAAGGATCACCAAGTTGCAACCCCTTGCCACAAGCAGGGCCACCAACCTCCAGATCTGATACTGGACCAGGCTGTCCAGGACCTCATCCAACGTGGTCTTCAGCACCTCCAGGGACAGAGTGTCCATAACTTCTGGGCAGCCTGTTCCATCACCTCACCACTGTCTCTGAAAAGAATTTCCACCTGATATCCAATCTAAACCTTCCCTTCTTGAGCTTAAAACCATTCCTCCTTGTCTATCACAGTCTACCCTTGTAAAAAGTTGTGAAGATGACCTGTCGGTGCCATCTTTCAGCCAGGCTCTTTTCCTTCTGTGAAAATAGAGGCGGATAGCTCTGGGAAGAAAGCTGTGGTTGGAAAGAAGTCTTTAAACTTCAGTTTCAAAAGCAGGTGCTCTGAAGAGCACAGACATACAAAAGCTCAGTGTTGTGGTTCTCGTGGAACCTGTACTGCCTGTGTTTTTCAACAAGAAAATCCACAATGTATTTTAACATTTTTTTCTGAAACAGATTTCACAGAAACTGAAATTTCAAGCATTTTTCATTCTAGTGTTGACTTTTCCCAGTTATCTTTATTGAAACTATAAGGGCAGAATTCTTATTTAGAGTAAGGAGTTGAGCTCTCATTATTCAAACATTTTGCTAGGAAACCTAAGAAAGCATTTTGCTAAATGTCTTAGTTTTATGGCAGTCATAGAGGCAAGTGACTTGATAGCACTTTCTTGTCTATTTAACCACGTCTTACTGTGTGTTGTCTGAAACTACTTCACTTCCACAGGGTGATAGTTGTGTGTTTTTCTGAAAATGTAATCAATGTTTTAATGCAAGTCTCAAATTCAATTTTAACAGGAATTACTCGATTTGATCTGCTTGGAGACTTCGGAAGGTTTAACTGGCTGGGAAACTTCTATATTGTATTATCTTACAACTTGCTCTTTGCTATCATGACAACATTATGTCTGGTCAGAAAGTTCACTTCTGCTGTGCGAGAAGAGCTCCTGAAGGCATTAGGTAATAATAGTACTGGAAATTTAGTTTGTACTTCATATTACTTTTCTCTAGCATTGATACCTTGTAGTGTTACCTCCATGTTGTGAAGGCATAGAACATATTCTTTGCTGCTCCTGAGCATGCAGAAGTCTGAATGTGTATCAAAGTCTGAGCAGTGGTTGTCAGTAATTCTTAAGGGGAACTTGGCATTTATGACAATTGGAAGGCAGAACTAAGAGATTTTAATCTTTCTTCCTGTCTTTTTACCCTGACAGAGACACCTAATCCTTAAATTCTTGTTATGTGTATTATATTGAGCTGCTTTCAGATTCTGCATTCCAGAATGTAAATGTTCATGTGCTGTGTTTGTTTGCTTTTCAAGGCAACTTATTAATTCACTAAAAATAGGTTAGTGGAAATCTCAGCTGCTTTGTTTTGATGTTTTTTTTTAAGTGCTACATGTTTACAAAGTCCTTGTACAAAATGTATGGGATATTAATAACTGGCTGAGTAACAACTAGAGTTGATAACAGGATTTTGATCAAATCATGCTTTCATGTTCAGGAATTTGCAAGTCTGGCCATACAAAAAAGGTGAGAAAAATATTTGATACTAAGAAGTTGTTACTGCATCTCATGTCAACTAATGAATGAAGCTCCTTTTTACAGAATAGTATTTGCTTAAATGGAATGGGCTAACAGTGAGACTTCAGGGTTTGTTTATAAACATGGACTCAGTTTGTAGTGTCTAAAAGGTACTTGTGTTAGTTTTCACTGACTACTGCTTTCCGAGTTGGGAACTTGCTGAACAAAATCCTAGAATGAGCCTTTCTTCTGGAGGCAATTAAGTTAGTTTCAGAGCTACTACATAGGGCACTGCAAAATGACTGATACTGTAGGACTAACAGAAGCCATTCTGTCTTTTTTGATGTTGAGTTTTCAAGCTCCAGGGGAACAGGTGACTAGGGAAGTAGTGTGTAAATCTATCCATTGAATTTTATGCTAAAATACTTTCAGAGAAGTTGCACAGTTGATTTGAGAGAGTGCTTAGTTGAAGCAGTTTTTAGTCTGCATGTATTTTTCTGAATAGCTGTATGCATGAAATTTGGAGGAATCTCACTTTTTTCCTTACTGTGTAATGTTTTTCAGGATTAGATAAACTTCATCTGTCAAACAATCCAAGAGACTCAGAGACAAAGCCGTCTGCAAATGGGCATCAGAAAACACTGTGATTGACAATCACCTGCAATCAACAGAGCTGAAAACATCAACCTCATGGCATTCCCGACATCTCATCAGCTTTTTTATATTGTTCTCTTGCTGATAATCTGGGTCCAGCCTTGTCTCATTTCTTGATGCTGTGTGCTTCTGAGGAACTTAGCTGTATCAGATTCTTCTCTTTCCAGTTAACTTCTGGTCTGCTTGTTTATTTCCCAGTAAGTTAATGCAGGAGGTGCCTTGAAGACTGGAAGCTGAAGAGAATAATTAATTTCTTTTTATTGACAGTCTCATATTCTTAGATACAAGCCTGCTAGCCTCTGAAAGCATAGTATCTCCTGTGTAATGCAGACACAGGTTGTAAAGAATAACTTTGGGACTTTAAAAAAAAAAAAAAAAAGAAAAAAAAGATACACTTGAAGCCCGGTATGACCCTTATTGGAAATGTAAGCTACTTGGAATGGGCATCCTTGACAGTAGATAAGCAGTTCCACTAAAAATGTTTTAAAAAAGAAAGTTACTGATAAAGACCACAGATGATGTCGGACTCGGTCTGATAGCATGAAGCTTTCTTGGAAGGCCAATGTTTTCAGTTCTCTGTTCCCAGCTGTGAATGCCAGTTGCTTTACTGGAAGTCAGGCAATGTCTAATGAAATAGTGAGCCACACAGTGAAGATTTACTTCAGTGTTAAGTCTGAGCCTAGTGTGCTTTGGAGGAAAAAAAAAAAAAAAAAAAGCTGGGTAGACCCCATGTCACAACTCTTACAATTCTGTAATGATGTGGTGCTGTGGAGGTCACTCACCCTACCAAGTACATCCCTGTAAAATTCTGTATGAACTCCTGTGTATAAGTAGTACTTGTAACTCATGCAAGTTGCACAAGTCTAGGAGGCTGTGGTTGTAGTTGTTTTTTTTTGTTTGTTTGTTTTTTACAATCTTCTTTAATTTGAAGTAAATTATGTCTCTGGATTTATACTGTAGTTACGAGGATTTCTGTTCAGTGGCATAATCCACTATCTTTCACTAGCCTGTTTTTTAATGTACACACAAACGTGTATATAGGACTACATGTGTAGATACCATAAATTAAATCTAAGCTTATAGAGATGGCATAGTTGGTTTGATAAGTAAAGCTTGTGTGTTCAAGCTTGGTAGTACAAATTTCTGTGATGTTACGATTTAACTGCCCAGAGGCCTTACATTCAGAATGGCATCAGTGAGTGTAATGTAATTTTTCTTAGCATCACTTCTGCCTTAGGAATTCTTTTAGCAGTCTATGGTAATAATAAAAAAATTATAAAAATGGCAAAACCAGCACCCACCAACAGAACCCCAGCTGTTCAAACTCTAGTTGCATTTTTGTGCTGCTCTGTTACAGGTAGTGTTCAAATAGATTGGAATGAGGACAACTTCAGTATGTGCTCCGTATGTAGTGGATCAGTTAATATTCCTGATTATTCTGGTTGCTGTTAAACTGAAGGATGTCTGTTTGTGGCTTTAGGTCATGAGTGTGATGAGGCTGTGACAGTTAACTCTCCAGCAGGGTTCTGAGATAAACTCTGTGTCAGAAGCTGTTGGCTGGTGTCTACTGAGATGGCTGCACTGGGCTGTAGACTTACAGGTGTGTGTGAATGTGAGAGTTGTTTTTTTTCCTTTGTTTTCTGAGACAGTTTCAAAATTCATGCTCCAGTGTACCTGAGAATTTCTTGTTTTTTTGCAGGTTGCCTTTTCTGACTTGAACTGGGGCATAATATGAATACTGCTGTAGCAAATATGCTGGAGTTACTTTTTGTGTGATTAGTATAAATTCAAGGGTTATTAAACTGACTGTTGATGTGTTGTACTGAGTCTTGGAGGACTTAAAGTAAAAGTGCTTGATTTTTTACTAAGATTTACAAGCATCTCTTTCTGTTGTTTAATGCTCTTTCAGTGAGAAAGGTTTTCTGAGTCAGTTCCTCAGCCAAGAACAGGGAGGTATAATTAGAATTTGCTTGAGAATGTTTACATTTTAAACACGGGGAGTTTTCTTATTAGGGCCATAATTCAGGTATTCTCAGAGCTTGCAGCCTTATGTGTTATTATAGCTAAAAGCATCTGAAATGTATCCACTCGTCTACATAAGTGATAGTATGACTAAAGTTGTCCTAGTGTCTTACTGAGGCAGGTGAGCTGTGAGTGAGGCTAGTTAGCTTTGTTAAAGTATTTCTGTTGCAGCTTTGGCATTTATATAAATATGGTCTTTGAGTGAATGGATTTGAGGGTGCATCAACATAGGTCTTGGTGTTCACACTTCTCTCAGTAGAGACAGAACATTTCGGAGATGTTTGTCCCAGCATCCAAGAAGGCAGGAAGAGATGGGCTTCTGAGGTGTGTGTGGCTTCTGGAAGCGAGTTGGACAATTACTTAAGCTGAACAGAGGCAGCTCCTGCTCATGAGCCTGCGAGGTTCAGGCAAAACTTGAAAACTCTTTCAAAGCGAATGTTACAGCCGTGCCTGCTCCCAGCCCTTCTGGATTCTGTAGTCAGAGAGATGGGTAAAGCCTGTAAGAGAACATTTTACATTGGAATATGACAGATACTTAAGGATTGCTGTGTGGTTTCCATGGTGGATAAGAAATTCAGAACTACCCTGTGCAGTTAGTGACAGTGTTTTGTTTAAAAACCAACTGTTTATATTGTAACACTGTCTGCATTATGATATGTTTGGCCTTCAAAATGACATGCTTATGCAGAACTCCTTACAGATCCAATGGTACTTTCAAATATCCTGTGTGTAAGATACAGGTCACTGTATACTTTTCACAGAAGCATATGGTCACTTAAATGCACACAACTGGTAATTCATTAATGGATGTGATGATGCATTCCTAGTATTTTGACTCATGTAGAGTCAGGTGGTCTATACCTTCAAGGTATATACAACTGATCTTAGTAACATTAACATCTGCCTCACTTCTTAGGAGGCAAAAAGCACATAAATGCTTCCATCTTCAACTAGATACCACACAAGACCAAAAAAGTAGATGTAAATTCGGTGTTTTAGATCAGCCATTTCTTGGCTTTATTCTGTGTTGGTAGCACAATATTAAGTGCAGTGGCAGAGCTGTAATATCATGGGATTTCTTCTAAGTGTAAAGCACACTGTCAATATTTAACACCTTAAAATGATAAATAGCAGTATTGGTTACTATACAGTGACAGTTTTTGCCTTCGTAGGAAGCTTTGTTTACTGTTTGTAATGTGATGTTCATCTTCGGCCCTGCTCCTCCACTGTCTTTTCCCCTGTTGACTGCTTCATGGTGTCATAGAAATTAAAGGATTTGACAAGTTGCTCTCCTTGTCTGGTTCCAAAGTACCACCTTGGGTGACACGCGGGGGGCAGCTGCGTGTGTGGGCAGGACCTCGTGCAGCCCTGTGCTGAGTGGGACGGATGCACACAGTGCTGCAGTTGGACGTGTTCTCCTCCATGTGACTGACGTGTGTGCCACCAGGGGCAGCAGCTGTGAGAGGGCTGCAGCAGTCCCTCCTGTTCCTCACCCATGTCTACAGCAGCTCATCTGGGTCACTGCTGCATAGGAAGGACAAGCTGGCCCTTTTTGCAACGAATTTACCCTCTAATGTACAGGAAGAAGGTAAAAAGCAAAGAGCAATCCCATCCATCCAACTTTCTATGAATTTGTTAAGGTTGGCCTAATTTCTCCATTCTTTTCCTCCTCTTTCAGAATGTTGGTGGGCTCAGGCAGTGCACAGCAGTTGAGCGTTATCTGTTCTGTATTTAAGCAGTGTGTATAACTGGGAATGCCAAGTGCAGGAGTGCAGCTAGATCCTACTATTTTATGCATACTCTGATTTTTAAATTAATTCTTTATGTAGGTAAAGTCATTTCAGTGGGGACAACTCACTACAGCCAATTTTATAACCTCTTTAAGAAGAAATAAATTTTGTTTTGTTTGATCAGAAAGTCTGTATGATCTGTGAACCTTTAAATGCTTCAACTAAGGCTGTAAGGTCCCCATGCCCTTCCTGTTGGTATTTTTTCATTTTAGTGCTGACTTGAAATAACGTTAAAGGTTGTCTAAGGATGCAAATATACCTGACTCTTCTCACCTGTATCTTTCAGGACCTAGTATCTTGTGCTCTTAAATGTACTGCTGTTGGTTAACTAGCAGTCTTTTCTAGTTGCATTATTAGCATTTGAATGTTAAAAAAATTCTGCTTTTGATCTCATCAAGAGAGCAATCGAAGCTGACAGCTGCTTTGATGTGGATTCCAGACCAACCTGGTGTGCAGGTGATGTCTGCAGCTGGCAATAACCTCTGCCACCTCTTCCTGCCTTGCCCAGTGCCCTTCATTCAGATGAAGTCTCTAGCACTGCCCGAAGAACCTGTGATGCTCCTCCTTTCTTTGAGGCATGAGGAGCTTGGCCCGTGGGTTGTCCATCTGCTACACAGTTCTAGTTGCTGTATTTTTGGATCACTTGTGATTGATGTTCTCAGAGTCTGTAGTCAAAACCATGGGAAGGAGTTTGCATCTTGTGTGAAATTAGGACTGAATGTAACTTTCAGAATCCCCACTGTGCACAACAGTTTTAGGAAACTGGAGCAGAAGAGTTGGGGAGAAGGCTGTAGCTCACCTCTATGCTGACCGTGTTCTTTCTCTTCCATCCTTCTCCTAGTTGATCTTTAGAATTGAACATCAGAAAAAAATCCTTATTTTAAATTCAGTTGATGACGTTCAAGGGCTGATGAAACTGTGCTACACTTGGCCTTAATTATTGGTTATTGACATCTTTTCAAGTCCACTTATGAGCACCACTGGAGATGCAGCGATGATGTTCTTCAGTCACGAACATATTAGTATTTATTCATTCATTTGCACTTCATCTGTTTTCTGCTACTGGGTTCCATTAAAACAGTCCTGTCATTAGTGTGACTGCTCTAAGAATTTACCAAGAGATCTGAATTTGGAGTGAGATGGAAATCCTTTAGTCATGCTTTTGGCTTCCAGTAATGTGAAGGCCATCTACCTGCTTTTCAGTGCAAGAAGCAACTTCCTTGTACCTGAGATCATGCAGAAGGCTGCTCTTATGAAGGAGCCGACGTATGAACATTGCAGACCTCCTTGTGAAATGACCATGAAGAAAATGCAGCATGATGGCAGTTCTTGTGCTGGGAATGTAATGGTTGTGTTTAAATGCCTGAGGAGGAAATGAGCTGATGTATGACATGTTTTCCCCTCAGCCATGGGTTTTCTCAACCTGGGCCAAAACACTTGGTTTCACAAAATCATTGTGGCTGTTTCCACCCTGACTTTATACTGTTTTACAGAACAAATTGGAGCCTCTTCATTTTTTTTTTTTTTTTTTTTTTTCAGATGTGGACTTCAAAGTACTTTTGTCTAATTTGGACTGAGTCCTGTTGCTTTAAAATAAGTGGACAGAAAATGGATGCATTTGGGTCAAGAATCTGAAATCTTAACATGCACAAAAAGTATATGTACACAAAAGGAGGGTAGGTGTCCTTTACTTCCTTGGGCTGAGAACCAAATCCTACATTACCTAGATAAAAAACGTGCATTACTCTGAAATGCACTGTCTCTAAAATCCCCACTGAGGAGACGAGAGCACCAGGGTGCTGCTGGCCATCCATCACACCTGGCCACCTTCAGGTGGCCTCTGCTGGTGTGTCCATAAGAGTTACAGCACTGAATGAGTGTTCGTGTTGATGTTGCTACTGCTGTCACTGTAAGAATGGCAGCAGGTACTTCTCCTCAGGCACTTCCAGTTTTTTCCCTGTGGTGTTACTCATTTAGATTGGTCTTAGTTTTTCTAAACGGAAAAAAATTGCACAATCTTAACTGTATGCAATCCTGAGTGATGTTGAATGGATTTAGTTGTACTTTGTTGGTTCAGTTTGTGCTTAGAGCTTTGTTGAGTCTGTAGTCTTAAGCAACAGCTTTTCTCACATGGTGGTATGTTGGACCAAGGTAAAACTGCTGAAAAATAACACTCTCCTTGCTAATGCAAACAGAACGATATTCTGTAGTAATACCTTCTCCCCACCAAACCCTTCTTAGAGTATCTTAGGTCAACCAGAAATATGTTTTGCAGTGTTCTCAGTTGTGGTTACTTTGCTGTGTTACAAAACTTGATGAAAATAATTCTTGAAGCCTTGGTCAGGTTGACATTTTTGTGTGTGAAAAGCCATGGTTGTAGTTTTTTTCCCCATTGTTTGAAATGTTACCTCCAGTGTTTTGTAGGAAGAAGCTTTTTTTTTTTTTTTTTTTTACTTTGTTTTCAATAAAGTGTGATTCCTAATGGGGTTTTGATTCTATTATTTAAAGCCATGAGAAAGATCTGTGGCATCCCAAGCATTCTGAATGGTTCTGTGAGTAGTTGGTGTGAATAGCTGCATTCCCTTCCATCCCTCCTGCATTTAATGTATTTTGGGGATTCTCTTACAAAAAATTACGTGAATCTCCATCACATACCACATATCGTGTACACTCAGAGGAATGACAGTCCTGCTCTTAAAACAAGGATGTGATGAATTCCAGCACTCCAAGGAAGTGAGGATTGTTCGTGGAAAAGTATCCAGATTGTGTGATGTTAACAGTACGACTGAAGTGCAATTCTTAATTTCTTTAATAATGTGACAGTTCTTAAACTCTTTGAAACTCTCACTGGAGACTGCAGTGTTGTTTTCTTTAAAAGAAGTCCAAGAATTGTACATTTGGAAAGGACCTGCAGACACCTGAGCCATTCGACTGCACAGGATCAGAAATACTTATGTTAGTCCCTAAGATGCAGGTTAAATACCAGGAATATCTGTGACTTCTGACAATATATTGTTGTTTAATTGTCCAGGATTCCCTAAATGCCAAGTGTAAGAGGTCCTTGAAACGTTTGCAAGCTTTGCAAAGCCTTACAAAGCTTTAATTTGGTTCTCAGGTGTCCACAGTAAGCAAGACAACTCTTCTGCTTGCGTGAGCATTTCCAAGGCTCAAAGACTGTATTTCCCTTTGTCTTCTATTCAACAAGTGACTTCCCTAGTTCTCTCAGCAGTTTGATGCTGTCCTCTGTAGAAACCTCTTACCTAAGGAACTCCTAGCAGGATATTGATCTATTCTAGCTCAAGTCTTTAAATGCATGTGATGTCTGCCTCACTTGATGCTTGACACAATCTGATCTTGTCAGCGTTATTTGAAAGCTCTCCATTTGAATAGTTAATCAGACATTGCCTTTTTGTGCAAAAATGATCTTTCTTGTTACTTTTATGATTCGCTTCTGTGGAATGGTCTTTGTGCTTAGACTTGTAAGTTACACGTGGTGACCTGAATTGGTTTCAGCAACATACAGCTGAAAATTCATAACCATATTTTTATTCCTGCTAAAATAGATGAGTACTTACTGGTTCCTTAGTTCTAAGAAGTTCTGAAGTGATCCTTGGTCTTTGAGGGTCATTTCTTATTTGCAAACAGCGAACTGGGATTGGTCACAGTTGTTCAAGCAGAGCAAGAGCCGGGGTTCTGGTTGGCAAGCTTGGCTGAAGGAAAATGTGTTTCTTGCAGTGACCCCAGTGACCGTAGTGATTTTCTTGTGAATGGGAGCCTGTGCTACCACGTATCAGGCATAAAACCAGAATGGTAAAGGATAATGGGGGTTCTGCTGAAGGAACACAATGCCTAAATGCACTGTGCCTCATCGCTGGGAGAGAGATGAAAATGAGGGAAGTTGAAAGTGCCAGAGGGATGGGGACAAAAAATGTCGAGAAAGGTGAAACTGACTGTTAAAGTAGAGCAACAGCACTCAACTTTTATTTCTCCAAAGACAAGGTGAATGCCATTGTACATTTAAAAAAAATTACTTGAAAGATCTGGATCTTAAGAGGTTCCCAAGTTAGAAACATGCATGTGCATTGTCAGCCGTGCTCTGCTGGGAGGTACTTCACTGAGCTGTGGGTGTCAACACTTGAGGACCTTCTTTTGATAATATGAGCGGCACAAAGGGCAAATAGGTTGCACTCCCAAGGAAAACTCTTCAAATGCTTCAAGACAGGAATGGTGAAACAAATGTGAACAAGAAAGCAGAACGGTCTGTCGGGAGAATGGATTGCTGGTACCAGAAAAAACACAGGCAGGGTGAGCAGGAGGGCTGAGTGGCGTGATACAGATAGGACAGTCAGCTATCTCCTGCCGAAATGCCTAAGTAAAGACAACGACAGATAAACCTCTACAGTAGTGAAGCAATGTAAATATATCAATAAAATTACTAATTAAAGCATTCCAACTTTATGACTGGTGTATTTTGACAAATGAACAGCATTTTCACTCTCAATAGTGTCTTCAGTCTCCTTGGGCTCTTTGATTGAAAAGAGGAGACATGCTGCTGAAGTAAAACGAGACTTCTGAAGTATAAAAGCTTGTTAAATGTTCCTGATTTAGAATAGGTTATATTAAAAAACTGAACTCCCCTGTCCTCCCCAAAAATCTCAGTTGTGCTGAAGACTGCCATGCCTTTAAAGAGCGTAAAAGCTGGTAAGTTGGGACTTCTTAAACAAACAAAGAAAAAAAGCCAGCCAACCTGCATCTGGATCTTCTCCCAGTCATTTTCACTGAGGAGTATTTCTTTTCCTTCCAGCTGCTGAAATGCATCCCGACACGCAGCTATAGAAGAATCTATCTTGTAAAGAAAATCATCCAGGTTTATGTCATAAGAACTCAGGAGCCGACTGCTAATCTGTTGAACCTGAAAAGAAAATGGATTGCTGTTAGATTGAAAACTTAATTGGAAAACAGCCGTTTTTCAGGGAGGAGGGGATGGGAAGTGAGGGGTGGGAAAATAGCAGCTGTTGTTAGGTCAGAACCTGAATACCTTCTTACTGTTTCACTTCAGTTTTGGGCAGTTTTTCACACCAAGACATGTGCTCCCCTTATAACTGCTGAAAGTGACCCTTCATAGCTTATGATGGAATATTCAAAGTGAACTCTTTTAGATCTGATAGAAGCAAGAAGCCAAATCCAATGGCTACACAAATAATAAGAAAAGAGAAAAATCCAAACAACAAAAAAAAAAACCAACCAACAAACTGCCAACGCAAATCGACCAACCACAGAAGTATCTGAAAAGCTTGCTTAGCATTTAGTTTTCAAACTTTCAGTTTCCCATTTTCTTCTAAAACTACGAAAAACCTCACAGTAGCAGTTGATGTTTTCTAAAAAATATATATATATACACATTCATGTAATGTGCAAGTATGAGAATGCTTTCCACTGAAAGCTGTAGTTCCTCAGCAGAGACTTGAAGAAGACAAACATTAGAAAAGGGCAGACAAGAAATACTGAAATCCGTAACACGAGAGAAGTCAGTTGGTTCTTGACGATGTTTTATTCTTTTTTTAATAGTTTGATCCACTGATAACTGAGACCTATTATGTCTTATTGTGTTCAAAAATGATCTCAGGTGCAACAGTATGTTGAAAAGATGTATCTGCATGTTGGCACCACTCAGCTTTAGTTACTAGTGCAAAGTAATGCTGATGTGCTAACTTGGTGTAGCCAGCTAAAAACAAAATCCTGAGGAGTGTATTTAAATCACAACATGATTTGAAAAGCAGCAAAGTACAGAACTTCCTGTACTTTGTAGTACAGGTTTTATATCTGGCAAAGATTGGATGGATGTTCTTGTGCTTCCTCTATGATTGCTCACTGACGAGAAAGAAAAAAAATCCAATTCTATCTCATGCAAACAGTGATTTTTAGTGGTATGTGTGCAGGAGGAAACAAACAAAAATCCCACTGCACTCCTCCAGCATTTACACTATGGGGTTTCCGAACAATCCCAAATGATAACTGAGACACAAAATAAGCTGATTAAAGTGCAGCATATTGGTATATCTTTAATGGTTTGTTATAAATCTATATTCAGTGAAGATTACTAGGAATGTCACTGGTTAATCTGAACTGCTGTCACCTAAGTTCTAAAACTGGACCTGCTCCACACGGTAACATTAACTGCTCTGACTTCTTTTTAAAACCAGACTTCAGAAGGTATAGGATAAGATCATAGAATCATAGAATGACTTGGGTTGGAAGGGATCACTAATCTCCAACCTCCCTCCCCCGCCAGCCTCCATATCTAATACTAGCGCAGGCTACCCAGGGCCCCATCCAACCTGGCCTAAGATTACACCTAAACCTTATATAATTCCCAGTTTCTGGTCTGCATCGAGTCAAAGTTGATCGAGATGAAAATACTTTATATCCTGATTTATGCTCGATCTTCATTTATGTCAGCATCAAACACGAACAGACCTGAACTGTTTTGTAAGAAAGCAAAGCCAGGGCAATGTAACTGAAAGCTCAAGCAGCCGCGAAGATGCTTTAACTTTCTCTGTGAGCCTCTCAGGACCCAAAACTTGGGGAAAAACAGCTACATTTTAACTCATCCCTGATCCAGTGTCTATTTCTGTGAATCTGAGAGCAGCACAATCAGCATGCAGTCAGTTCCGGGACGCAGCCTGTCTCTGTGCACTGTGGGATGATTAGATCGACTGCTGAGTGAAATTAACCAACGAGAGCTGAAAGCAGGAGGCAGAGAAAGCGGCTGGAGCTGCATTAAAGTGAGTCGTGTCCCCCTTCTTCCTGTGCTGTGCTGTTTGTTCCTTTTCCCTCAGCAGGGAGAAGCTCCACTTCTGCCTTTAGCGTGCACTTGTGCCTCTCTACCCCATTTCACTGAGTGATCCTGAGAGTCCCCTCATGAGCTCCTTTGCACAGACACTGTAAAGGAGAGAGAGGAAAATTCTTTTCCTGCCTAAGAGGACTGCATTCTATTAAGTTCCCTGCTGCTAAGACACTATCTGCTTTGAGCTGCTCCTGTATTTCCTGCAGCATGGCCTGACCCAACCCATATCCCATCGATCAGCAAATTAAGCCTAGGGTTGAGAAGGAAGAAATTTTAACTAAAATGTAACCCCAAATTTATGTTAACTGGCAAATCTGTACTATCAAAATAAAAACAAAGTAATGAGCAATTCATATCATTTGTTAACCTTATGTTCTAGGATTTAAATATTAAATCCTGCTGTGTAACACCCAGTCATTTCTTTTTCCAGATCTGAAACTAACTGAATTTATTTCTGAAAATGCCATACCTCTACTTCGTCTGTAACTTCTTAAAACATGAATAGCAAAACATAAGCACAGGATTTGAAATACTCTGTTGGTATGCAAAACTCTTCAGTTTTGCTTCAGTCATCTGCAGGGCAGCACAAGGCTATGATAAAACAAAACGGTGAAACAAAGCACCGGCATGAACTTTGTCCACAGGGAAGCCTTTTAAAGTGATCCAGTGTCAGCAAATTGCTTACTAATGTGTTGACTTACGGCAACCCTCAAAAGTAAAATGAAAAGGCTGGAATTTACAGCATATCAATGAATCAGTTGATAAGCTTTTACTGGTTTAATATCCTCCTCGTTTGGCTGCTTGGAGCCACTTCAAGTTAGCAACAGAATGTTTACCATCTCCATGTGATAAAGGAAGTCAAACGACTAAACAAATTTTAGGACCATTATACTGTTTGGGGAGATTTAAATTAAAATCGTTGGGAGAAATCACATAGAGGGGGAGAGTGAACCTAAAGTCAGCCACCCCATCTCACAGTGACTTACCCAGCTTACTAAACAACAGTCAACACATTTAGCAAAGCTGGAGATAATGTAATGCATTTGAAAAGATTTAATTGCACCAATAAAAGGCTATGCCTCAATTAAATGACGTGCACAAGTGACATTTATGGATAGGATCAAAGAAATTTGCTACCTCGTATGCTGAAGCAACGCCCTGTTTCTGTGTGCAGTAGTGCTAAAAAGTAGCACGCTTTGGTTTCTGACCTTTTGTATCTCCTTTGATCTGAGATATTAGAAATTTTAATCATAGGTGTAATAAGTAATATCACACTAACATAAGTGCTAATATTTCAGACTTCATTTTTTATTTTGTGATATTTATCTAAGAGCGGGAAACTTGGCATTTAACCTTTGTGATTCTTCCAGAAGAGGCAGGATTATTAAAAAATTGACTTTTTTTTTCCACTTGAGGTGCTGTTTGATTTTGCTAACATTTAGGAAGTGACATTTTAAAAGCACCACAATTTTTTTGAGGCAAAATTTATTTTAGAAAAGCTTTTTAGCATCTGGAAATGGATGGATTCTCATGAAAAATTTCTTCAGTGTTTTCTTTGACCAGCACTTAAATGTGTAAGAGTTAACTCCAGGAAAACTCATCTGTCATATATCCTTTAATCATAATTGGCACCAAATTCATTTAAACCTAGCTAATCCAGGTTTAAATGGATGTTGTGGATGCCCCAGCCCTGCAGGCATTCAAGGCCAGGCTGGATGTGGCTCTGGGCAGCCTGGTCTGCTGGTTGGCGACCTGCACACAGCAGGGGGTTGAAAATGGATGAGCATTGTGGTCCTTTTCAACCCAGGCCATTCTGTGATTCTATGATTCTATGAATCCATGTGTGACAACTTTATACATTTATTCTTAAGTGAAAGTGAAAAAGTGGCACCCATTTTGTTCCCTACAAATCCTGAAATACCATGTATGAGAATGATTTCCCAATGCTGTGAATGATACATGAAATCTATGTTAAAGATTATCCTATGGTTTACAATCATCTGATGAAATGTAAGCAGTTTTATCAGTTTGTTTACCCCTAAAAAGAAGTTCTCTCAGATAGGGGCTCTATAAGTTAACACTCTGTGGGTAGTTCAATGACATCTACTGTACCCATCTGTACTCAGCTGAAATTTTAACAAGTGATGCTCAGCTGGAACATTCAGCATATTTAGAAATGTTCTTCAGCTTCCCTTTACTGAGACAAGGTATGTAACTAAGGATGGTATTCTGAGCCCACCAAAAGTGGGCAGCCTTGTTGGGAAAGAGGCAGACTTTGTTTCCAAAGTCATTCATGCAGAAAAATCTGTTTCTGTTGACTGTTATCATGATACTTGTGGACAGTCACAGTATACTGAAGTATTTAGTCACTTCTTCCAAACATAAATGTTGAAGCACCCTCCATCAAATCCACCTCCAGTGCTGAAGGACCCCCCATCATCAGCCTGAGTTGGGTTAGAGCAGAAGCTGGAGAAGAGCAAATCCACAGAATGGAGCCACCCAGTTCAGTGCCATGTGAAGAAACGATGACAATGCAAAGAAGTGATGATTGTTTATGGATTAATTAATTTCTTCTCTTACTAAACCATGGCCCCTCATAGAAAACAGATTACTGTGCCTAATCACAAAGAGGAAAGAAATACAGAGTCTCACAAAAAGCCTTGCTATACATATGGAACAACAGATAGTATACTACATATTAAGTTAGGCCTTAAGAATCTAAATTATTTTCCCTACTTTTACACTGAAAATAGGGTGGGATGAGGAGACTAACGGAGTGTCTCCAATGCTGCTTGCTTGATACGAGTGACAAGGAATAAATGAAAGGGTACAGAGCTGACACTCAAGAGTTTAGACTTAAGGGAGCTGAATCAGATCAAAGAATGGACCAAAGAAGCAAATGAAACATACCTTTTCCTCAAAAAACTGTTTCCTTAGTTTGCTGTCTTTAGGAGGCACTGTTTTTCTCAAGTTTTTATACCATTTTCTAACAACGTATCCCCTCCAGGAGGCTTGAATTCTGTAAGAAACAAGATTGCTCAGGAGGAAGCTCAAATTTACATTATTTGACTGTTCAGTTCTTCTGTTCAGTTTCTCATTAAAGTTTTAATTCAGAATATTATTTTGAAATAAATATTGCCCATTGATGGCTCCTCTTACCTGATTGCACACTTTATTTTATACAAGCGGGCCCCGTCATGTATCACTCTGGTCTGGTACTGCTTTTTCCTGCACATAGGACAAGACTTTTTGCCCGTAAATTTTTCAAAGGCTTTCAGACATGCCTGAAAAAATCATTGCAATTATCTACTACATATTTGATATCACTGGGAAGAATGAAAGCGGTTAGATTACAGAATGTAAAAAATGTTTATTCGGCAAGCCATGAACACCATACAAAATGTATATTTTTATAAGGGAAATGCTAAAAATATTGTAAATCAATGTATATTCTCATGATTTTTTTTGTGTGTTAGGCTGTTCTTGTTTTGTGTATGTAACTCAGTTACAAATGATGTTTTCCCATAAAGTTTTAAGAAGACAATATAATGGGATAAAGAACCTCATCATTCAATAGCTTTAAATTATACTTCTTATCTTAAGAATCTGGAATTAAAGTTCCTTTTCAAGATGGTTACATTAATTCACTGAGATATTAACTTAAGTAACTTAAAACACATACTGTATGCCTGGATTGTTAAATAAAAACATACTCACTTTATGGAATACATGGGAACATGAAAGCAACACCTGTTTTACAAAGAAAAAAAAAACAGAGAAAACTATCTTTAATCCGTTCTAAAAGCTGAAGAGTAAAAAAATATTGACAACAAGGAAAATCCTGGCTGCCTGAAAGCTCATCACTTTCTTCTGGTGACTAGTGCATTATTTCTGGTAAAAATAATATCAGTCTTCTGTAGGAATTACTTAATAAATTACAGCTTAAACCAGTATGTGAATTCGGTGTTAACAATACATGGAGTGGCAGAAAGTGAGAGATGCCAGCTGCTCTTAACTAGAGCAAAACATTCTAGAACAAGTATTTAAAATGAAAGGTGATTCCCCCCCCCTTCCCCATAAAAACATAAAAGTTCAAGAAGTGATATAAATCAAATGCAGCATTTCATACATTAAAAAAAAAAAAACACCAAAATACACAAAAAGATGAAAAAACAACAAGAAAAGAGAAAGCATGTTTGTGGGCTACAAGAAAACTTCACCTTTATCTGACCTAAGTTCCCACCAAATGCTGATGATCTCCATCCTCACAAAAGATAGAGTTGGACAAAAACAGCAGTTGGCTCTTAGAGGAAGGGAAAACTGGGGAAGGAGTGGAAACCAGAACAAGTAGTTTGCACTATTGAGCAGGCAAACACAAAAGGATTAATGGCTAGCGGCCAGCTGAAGGGAAAGCTTTCAGATACAGTGGCTTTTTTTTCCCTTGAGGGAGGAAAGCTAACAGAAATTCCGAGGACAAAAAAAGAATTCCAGAGGCATTTCCCTTTTTGTGCCAAATCTAAAGTAACCTTCTTAATTACTGCTGTCTTTTGCTCTCTCTTGTCCAGCTTTAGACTTCTAGGGTAGAATGGTCTTTTGCCAGATCTATCCCACCTGTCTTTGGACAACTGTACACCTACAATTAATGTTCACGTAGATGGAAGCAAAACCCTTCCACTTAGGGTTTGTGAGAGCAGCACTCCTCCTCAATCAGTCACTTACCCCTTTTGCTTCACATTTTCAAGATGATACATGAGAGGATCTAATAAAGCACGATGGATGTGCTCACGCTACATGCGTGGCATTGAATAAAGACACCAAGGTAAAATGTTACCTGAAGAAATGCTCACGTAACTAAGAGACTGAATAGTATTAAGAGCACACCCACTTCCATTTTCCAAGTGGAAATAACTGCTGAATTAAACTACAAAGTAATAAAACTTGCGAGAAAGCAAAATATAACTTACATTGATGAATTAATGTGTATTTATAATTTTGATTAACAGAGCCAAAGTTCATATCTAATGGGAGTTTAAATGGAGCGAAATATAGCCTATAATTGCTTTGAAAAAATATAGCAAAAATGCTGATTACCTTTTCCACTACTGTCGTAATTGCACCAGTGAACAAACATTACCAACCTTTCTCTACCATCCCACTTGCAAAGTACATCAGAGTTGACCAACATTGCAATATACTGCTTAATACTAAATACTTAATACTAAAAGCTGCTGAATACTAAATGGCATCTTAAAGTTGAACCTCTCAATTCTTTCTTCTGTACCTCCAGCTAGTGACATTTAGGAGTAACTCTGGAAAATCTTAGTTAAATACAAAATGGTGTAGTCCACGGTTACACACGTACCTGAGGCTGAAGTGCAAACTCTTCCCTGCATATTGCACAGGGCTGGATGGAATCTCCATGCTGTATGGATCTCTGCTTTATTTTTGCCCATTCTTCAGCAGTTAGTGGAAGGGAAGGGGGCTCAACTAGTCCTAATTTCTGAGCTGCAAACAGTAAGAACAACAAATCACCGGATAAAATCCACTGGCAGATGCAGATAATGGATGTTTCCATGCGAAGTTAATTGATCATACATTTATTTAAAAATAACGTGTACAAATGCTTCGTAGAAATTTATCATCTCACAAACCACTGGCTGGCAACATACTTCCTAATAATGGCTAGCTGTTTACTAATTTTCAGAACTTCTTTTAGATACAAGATTTATATAGGGATTTTTTAATGTAAGCTTCTATTTGCCAAGTAATATGAATGTGATACTTATTCACAGCTATTAAGATGGGGATTAAACTATGCAAAGTAACAATGCACAGTAACACAATTTCAAAGTGTCAGTACAAACAGAATCTGTTAGAACATGTTCGTAAAGGTTTATTTAACTTTACATTTCTGCATTCTTGAAACAAAGAAAAATGAATAAAGCGGCATAATAAAAAAAACTGATGTAAAATGTGCTGATGTAAAAATGTAACATGAGACTGTGATGGATAAAATAGAAGGAGCAAAAAGAAACAAAAGAGATGGTCACAGGACATCAGTTGCAGGGGCATTGTGAATGCTCAGCTAGGCAGTCTCAGATGATAACTGTGAAGTATCACACTGAATGTCCATGATAAATCTGTCTTCTCAGAGAAGGAATTTGTGAAAATACAGTATTTCCCCCACTTACGGGATATAGGCCAGGATCAGTAAAAGAAAAATGCTAGTTGGTACAGTCAAGAATAGACCTATGTCGTTTTGAAAAGCAGAGGAAACCTCTATGGGCTGAATGAAGATAGTGGAGAAATGCCTGAGGTATGTGCAATGACCTAAAACATGAGTCCATGAGGGGGCATCCATCATATTTGCTAAAATCAGAAAAGAAGAGGTATATTAAATAGAATGTAAAGCAATGATGCTGAGTTGTAAGTGGGAAAGGGCCAACTCTTTTACTTGTACCACAGAGCAGATCCAACCAAACTCTTGGCATAAAGCGTCCTCATAGCAGAGAACATCCTTCAAAGACACCCAACAAAACTGATTTCATATCTTATATTTACTAAAAACAAAAATCAAGTTTCACTTGACAATAGCATCTAAGAGTATCAGTGGATGAGTATGAAAAGAAAATCCCATCTGGATGGTCCAATAGACAAATGTGGATAGTCTTTACAATGATAGAATCTGGATACACTGCAAACCAGTCACAGTGGAAGACAGTATTACAGAATAAAAATACCTGCCCTTTATTTTCTTCTAATCACTGTGGTCAAAAACTGTTTTAGGGAAGACAATGGGATGGCGCTGGGGAAGCCCTTTGTACATGCCCGGAGTGAAAAAAAATTAAAAAAATTAAAGAAAGCTTATTAAAAACTTCCACAAAAAGATGATTGAAGTTGCCAAATAGGAATTGGAGGCAAAACTTAACTTCTAAATAATATAAACCAGATGGGATATTTGTGAGGGACAGGTTACACAGGTGTTTAGAAAGAAAGCTATTACACAACACAGTTGATGAAGGAAAACTGGCAGCAGGACACAGAAGAAGTGATATGTGATTGATGTAAAAGGCTCTGTGAAGATATTTTTGAAGCAGCACTTGGAATAAATATAAGTAACGAAAGCCTACATTTATCACAGCTCAAGAGATCCAAGAGTTTTCATCCTTATGCACTGTTCAGAAGCCCAACCTGCTTACTGACACACTCACTTTACAACTGAGCTATTTATCCTAAAACGAACATTAGCAAAGTAATTACATACAATAACCTCTAAGCCCTTATAATTAGCTTTTAGGACGCAAGCCCCCGTTGAGAAAAATTTAATGACCGAACCCTCGGAGGTTGTTTGATTGCCTACAAACTCAAGAAGGAAAAAACGCATTAAATTACATTTTCAAAGTTGCTTCACAACTTAAAGGTTTAAAACACAGAGTTCTTAAAAAGAGAAAGTCTGACACAAGCATTACACATTAATGAGAGATTACAGGTGAAAATACTAATAAGCCAACACAGACACAATGGCAATGACTTCTTAAAATCTTTCAGCACATTCTTTGGAATCAGTTGCACAAACATTCATATGGGATCTCTCAGTCAGTGCTGGGATTTAAGGAGAAAATACTTCGCCTTATAGTTGCAGAGAACATGCTCACACTTGGTCTGCATTTTTTCACCACAACCTTTAGCTTCCAGAATCACTCATTATTTGTATTTGCGTTAACCCCAGTAGCTCTCTGCTGGCTTTGCCCCCGGAATCCTCTCTTCTTTCAAATTCCTCTCCAAACGGCACCAAAGAAAAAAACCCTCCCATCTTTAGAAGTACAACCAAGCAAACATACTAATAATCACCTTGTCTTACTACTTTTGTCCAAACGCTTGCTACACTCACTTATTGTGTATTATCTTAAGTTACCCTCTCAACCTCACTCTGATTCCAAAAGGCAGATGCCTGTGCTTGTATGGAGCCTCATTGATTTACATGGTTCTCTTCAGAGCTTGGACTACTGTGACAGCTCCTCCAGCAAAGGCAACATGATCTTCAGAGAGGCCCCAGGGCGTTTTTATAAAAAAAAGAATAAATAAAACAATTATTAATGATGATGAAATTCATGACGTTTAAAACTGTAAATTGTGGAGCTGCAAGACTCTAAGAAAAGACTAATGAAGACAATCAAAAGGATGGAGGAGAGATGATCAAGGCAAGAATACCGTAGAAACACTTAAAGGGAAGCAAAGAATGGAAACTGCTAGGAAGCACATTTGGAGCCCTGCTCTGCTGAGACGCTTCATGGATTTCTGTGTGTTTTTTTTTTAAAGCAGTATTATCTGTCACTGCTGTACAACTGCGTTATTATAATACTATTTAAAAGTGAGTTTTCTCACCAGGCATCATTCCAAGCCCTCACATCTGTGACTTTTATCTTGTTGCATGTTTGTTTCTAAATTTGAAAAAGGTATTTAGCTACAGGTGTTAATTCTTCCTGGATTTAGCCCCAGGACCATAGTAAAAACAAACCTTTTTAACTTTGAGTAAAGGTGGGTATATATTAACAGAATACATTTAACACAGCACAAGTGTCTTTTTATTGAATAAGGAATAAAAGAAACCATTTCAAAAACACATAAAAATCATCTTATTCATACTGCAATCTCCAAAATAAACACAGTATTCTAGCTTAAGATGCGAATATAAGGTAATGAAAGTTACCATAGTCAATATGCAAAGCATATTAAAATGGTGGAAAAGACTTCCTGCCCTTTAATGAAGAATTCTTCTTCCTCAAGTTGCTCTAGGTTTTTTTTTTGTTTTTTTTTTTTCTTTTTTACATTGACTGTCATAATGTCATAATAAGTCTTAATACATTTCTAAAGCCATATTCAAGCCACTGATGACAATTCCACTGCTTAAATGATCAGATATTGACAAATTTAAAAATAAGAACTTATGCTGTTTAGCACTGAATTGCCTTATTCAGTAAAAAGACTAGATACTTCATGTTAGTTATTGTAAATAAAGACAAAAAAAACACAAATGAGAAAACACTGAAGTTTACCTAAGGTTAGCCGTGGAGGATTGGGATCAAGAACATACTCCTTTTCCTCATCTTCTTTATTCTTCTGGTGAGTGCTCTTTTTTTGTAGCCCAGTATCTACCACTGCTTTGACCGTCTCTTTGTTCACAAGTCTGTAAATGTTCCTGATGTTCCTTGACTTTGACTTAAAAGGATCTGCTAACGAAAGACCTTGGAGCTGATGACTGTGTATTATATGATCCTGCAAAGCAACTGCAGAAACTGCTATCCCCTCTCGTTCAGAGGCGAGGCCCTAGCAAGGAAAAAAAAAGTTTCCATAATTATTATTGCAAATGATCTAAAAAGACATATGGGATACTAAATTAAAAGAAATCTCAGCCAAAGTGTTTGACTTGTCAAAGGCTTTTATCCACACGCAACTCGCTTACTTGAAGCCTAACATACAATTACAGTGACACGAAGTCTGAGATTGATGCTTCTGACACATCCCAGTTTTAACATACAAAAAGTAAAATGATATCTTTGATTTGTTGTTCATATTGAATAAAACAGCAGTAGTTTTTCAGTTTTAATTATGCAGTCCATAATTATTGTATGCAATAAACTCATCATGGACTATAAAAGTCTGGCGTGCCCAAGCACATTTAATTTCAATTAAAAACAATCCCAAGGGTAACGTGGTTTTCCACAACACTAAATACTAGAGATGCTCTGAAAGTAATGCCTCCTATTTTATTTTGTTGGCCCAGAGCATCAGAGGTGGATGTTGGTGATATGGCAGCAGAGGCTGAACCTTCCTGCCAATATTCTGTTATGTTTTTTTTGCTTTGTGACAGACAGCACAGAGGGGCAGCCGGACACTATGGCATCTGAGACAGAAATGAGTACGAAGAAAAGGGGAGTCACTGAATTCCTTCAGGAGGGAAAAAAAGGCACCCATTGACGTTCACTGACCCTTGCTGAATGTTTATGGAGACCAAAGAGTGGACATCAGAACAGTGAGGCAGATGGATGGTGGGTTTCAACGGTGACAACAGTGTGAAAGACAAGCCAAGCTCTAGATGGCCATGCAGATTTTCATGAGCGTAGCATACAGGGTCTTGTTACTTGCTGGTAGAACTGCATAGCTAGTGGTGCTGACTATGCTAAAAATTAGTGTTTTGCAGATGAGAATTTGCTCTATCAAACAGTGATATTTTGCTCTTTGCTTTATCTTCCAGGGAAATAAATAGGAGACATTATTTTTGGAGCAACAGGAATATATTATTTTTATGCAAGTAATGGGTTTATCTGCCTGCTCCTACAGTTCTCCCCACCCTTTTGCCTTCTTTCAAAGATGTGCAGTCATACCTTGTAAAAACGATGATCCTCCATCGATCGTCTCCAGACAGATCTACAAAAGTCAGTTGGCTGTAGGAACAGAAACGTTGCCAGAAATGCCTGGCAACGAAAGGCCTGGGCGGAGCAGAGAACCTGGAGTGCTGGGAATGCACAGCCTTCAGCCAAGTGTTCTGCTATCAGTGCTGTGTTAGCACCAGCGGGGTGTTTATCTACGATCTAACGAGGATAATTTCAATCACCAGTGGCTCCAGCCTGAAAAACACCATGAAGTTGGATAGAGTGGTTGTTGTGGCTGTCTCTCTTGCTGGGTGAGGAGAAGGACTCACATTTTCTCCTGTTAACCAAAACAAGGCTATCCCATTTGAAGTTATGCACTGGTGGCTTTGAGAGAAGGAACGCGATTGCCATTTTGTGTGACTTGCAATTTTGGCAAATCTATGGAGTTATTAAAAAAATAACATATACGAAGAGAAGAGATGAGCTGTATCCATAAAGATGAAACCAAAGACCCCTGTCACCTGGTGTCCTGTCCTCAGTCCCAGCAAGAAGTGGTGGCTCAAGGGGACACATCTCCTGCTGGGACTTTTCAGGATTTGGACCTAACCTGAGCCAGAAGCACTGCCTTTCTTTGTGATAACCACTGGTGTCCACCTCTATGGCCCAGAGAGATGAAGTGCAAAGGCATTATTAGCCCATAGTATGAGCATAGGCTTTCACTGGCTCTTTCCCTTGGCGTTCTCACTTGCAGAGGTCAATCTCCCAAGTCATATCTTCCAAGCAGAGGACAGGCACAGATGCTGCCTTAAATCCAGGTGTGCCATTTTAACAATCTTTTGGGTTTAAATAGCATTCAAAGTCCTTCTCAAGCGCTACTGACCTAAAAAAAAAAATATCATTTTCTTATCATTTTCTTGTAGAAGTGACATTTTTCCAAGAGACAGTAGTGATGTTGTCCTAAGAGTAATCCTTTGAGCAGAATATAAATGGAGTGATTAATCCACTGGATGCATTTCTTCTCTGTAATTATAAGTAATTACTTTAAATTCAAATCTGGAAATGAGAATACCTCTGTAGTGCAAGGGAAGATGTAAAAAATCATCTGAAGTGGCTATAATTACATGAAATCACCTTTTGTCTCTGAGGACAGAAAGATAAAATAACAGTTTTTAAAGTGAGCTTGCAAGTTTGCCTGAGACCCAACCTGACTCAGTAATATCATAAAGGGAGATTTTATAATATACGCTTTTAAAGATATTTTTAGTAATGAATTTTACCAAACAAATAAAGTACAAAACTTGTTTTTGTGCTGTCTAAAATTTATTTTGAAGTGTGAATGCTGTAATAGCTGCAAAATAAATCTGCTGTATTATAGAAAAATCATGAACTATGCATCAATTTTAAAACAAAAACACTAAAAAATGCTTCTCTCCTGTACTTCTTTTAGCTTCACTGTTCATCATCCTTGAACTCAGTCTGGCATTTTCGTAGCTTTTCTGTATTGCTTTTCTTTTTTCTTCCCTGAATATTTTACTGAGTTCCTCAAAGTTGCTAATAAGCAGAGAGGTTGCTTTCTTTTCCATTTCTGTCATACCTCATTAAGGTGATTTTATACACATGTATGCTTAATTAAGGCTTTTCATTAAAATAAGCCTTTAATCCAAAGGTGCTGGGCCTTAATTGAAACTCAGAGAAGATTAGTGTCATCTCTTATTTTGGTTTGTGCTGTTACTGTACTTTCTGCTGCTTCTAAACTGAAATGTTTGCATTAGCCCCAGCTGATACGTGGCCAGAAATAAATTAAAATTCATACTGCAGTCTTCTGGAGAGCAGCATGCCTCAGTAATTGCCATTTCTTATTAAGTGCCACCTTTTACTGAGAGCCTCCGCTTAAAATGCAGAAGGTTGCTTTAAACACTCGAAGGACATTAACATAACGAATGTGCTGCCTGCTCTAAAGGTGACTAATAAGTGATGGATGATATCTGTTTTTATCTATGTGTATCATTTGAAAATGTAATTGTGTTTTTAAATAGTGGTGAAATCACGGGTCTGCCTAGAGGGCATAAGTGTTGGAGAATTCTTTTAGGAAGATTTATGAAAAATGGAAGTTTTAGCTACAGGTTAGCAGCACTCATGTGAGATACCACATGGTGTAATGAGTTATAAAGCCTCTGTGAAGGAGGAAGGCATGAGTTCAGCAGGTTCTGGTCTTGCAGCACAAAGTGGACCAGCAGAGCAGCTGATCCATTTCTTGTAGAGTTGCACCTGAGCTGGGTGCTACTAATTAGCAGAGGCAGGTGGCCTGGCATCAATGGGATGAGAAGAACTTTTCAGGAAGAGTTCATAGCTTGAATGGGTTGGATAAATGTGACAGCAATGCCAGAGCAAAGGTTTGGAGTGAACTTCCTTTTACAGTCACTGCAATTAAGACTGAAACCTGGGCTTTATATTATGATGCTGTTTGCAGCATGTTTCAGTGCTTTGTTATGCTGGGGGGCTGTTAAAAAAGCACAATGTTTGAAAGGAGTGCCCTGCTTTCATGGAAGGTATTTCATATTGGTCAACACTGAAGAGGCAGATTTGAAAGAATGTGTTATAAAAATACATATTGACATGTTTAAATAAAGAAGAAGTAAGAAAAGGTGAATGCTGTACTCAGGTAAACCTTTAGTGAGTTTTCCCTGGAAGGGCTGTTACATAGCAGTGTTACAGTAGAGTTGGGGTGTGCTATTGTCTTCCAGCTGAGCTCCAGGGTGTGAATGTTCATTAGGATGGGGAATGACTTTTATGTCTTTACATACATAGATTAATTTTTTCTCACTGGAAAAGGGGATGTTTATGCTGCTGAATGTGTATATGCCAATAATCCTTCTTAAAAAGTGAGCGCAGTGCTGTCAGAAATGATGGAAGCTGAGGTGGAATGCACTGAGGAGTCCCTGCCTGCAATAATTTTGCTGGCTGAGGAAGACAAGTTTTGAACAACATGCACATGAGAGCCGTGCTTGTAACTCAGCAAGGAACATGGTGTCACACTGCTTTGTAGTTGCCCAGTTAAAGATGTGTTTTGTGTGTTGTTTTTTTTTTTTTAAGAGAGCTACCTCAGCCATCCCCAATTATAAAAGTACAGGAGCTGTTCTTTTTTCTCAAGTTGGTGAAGTTTTACCTCATTTACTATTTGTCTGCATACATATTAAACACACATATAAGCCCATGCACAAATATATGCATGCACATACGTACAGACACTGTGTATTTTCACTGCTGTGCTCTGGGTTTATTTTCTGCCCTTCCTGTCAGCTTCTGCTAACTTCCAGGCGTGTGCTTCCAGCTCTGGGGGAAGGCTGTGTGTAGGTTTTAAGGGTAGTGGAGACGTTATTAGCTCTCGTTTAAAGCCCTTTCAAGTAAATGAGAAGGCTGTCATTGGTTTATAGTTGAATTCAGAGCCCGTTCTGTTAAGTAAATATTATTTCCTTCTCAGGGAGGAAGAGCTTAATTTAAAGGAGAATTTGTGTATGTACCGTATGGGAACAAATGAGATCCCAAGCCAGATGTGATTTCATGTGTGACCTTTCATTTTATTGATCGTGTGGCACAGTGAAAACTTTTGCGCCGCAAATAGGGCACATATTGGTGAGGATTTATAGAACTGTAGTGCTTTTTATTTATAAAAGCCTCTCGAATGTTTTATCAGAATACACTGAGAAGGACCTTGGTAATATTAAGCACCTGTTATGCTGTATTTCTGTCGGCTGTCTTTATTAACTGTGTGTGTGATTAGAATGAGGAATGCTGTGAATGTGTGCTCGGTTTTGGAAGCATGTGTGAAGTGTTGCTTATGTTCTGATCTGTAATTTCCAGTTAATAGATGAATGTTTGCTTAACGTAGACATTTCCCATTTTGTGGGAAATCAATTTAATTAGATAAAAGCTGATTTTTCTGCAAATGTCTTCAACATACAACTCTCAAATTCATACAATGGCCAGCTCCTAATGCACTGATAATGTCTCTTCCTCCCTGTTTGTCTTGTAAGAGGTTCTCATTCCTTGAGAATGAAGTAAAGCCCTGGTTCCATCACTGCGGTCTTCAGAATTAGCACTGAAAACACAGGATTCTTTTCCTGGGCTGATGAAAGTAATTTCTTGTTTGCTGTGTCAAACAAAGCATGCTATTTGTCACATTGTGGTTTGTGTATCTTTTTAGAATCTTTCAACTTTGATCTGAGTCAAGGTACACTCAGTAGCAGATGACAGAAGTCACAAACCAGTGATGTGCATTGTCATTCATACAAACTCTTTAAGTCAACAAATACTGGGACTTAGATGTAGAAAACCATATTGCTTTTGAGGGGGCTTGTGCATTCTTGTGAGAAAATGCAGACCTTTGCTTTTCTTGTTTCAGACAAAGGTGTGGAACAATTTATTAGTTAAGGATTCAGTTCAGTGTCTGCAATCAAAAGGTGCCTCTTCTAGACGAGATTCTGGCCCTTGCTTATATTTTCTAGGTAAACAGTTGCATTTAAAAGACATTGTAGAGGTGGGCTCAGTAGCACATAAAAGCTGCTTTCTTCAAACTGTCATCACTGAGGTTTCAGAGAGTGCTTTTAATACTATCAGCTCTGGTGTTTGTGTTTCTTCCCTGCCCTCCCCCCTTTATTTTTCTTCATGTTAAATGCTATTTGAAACAGCACATTTTTTTTCCCTTCCCCGTGCCTCCCCCCCCCGGGCCGCACATTTTAATGTAACTTTCTCCTGCCTTCTACCTCTTCTACCTTTAGGGAAATTAATATTGTGAGTAACAAACCAGTGGGTTAAAAGCCTGTTTCACTGAGCTTCTGTTTCAAAAGTGAATGCCAAAAAGGCATAGAGTTATAAAACCAAGAGGTTGTTTGAATGGTTGTCTGTGTGATTCTGAAGATTATGGTCTATCACGTTTTGAAGCACAGTAGTTTGATCATCTGCTCTGACATTCTAAGGTTGTGCAAGGGATTTTGCAGAGTTAGAAAAGCTTGGAACATAACGCTTTGCTTGATGAAAGCATGTTTTTCAGGAAGCCATTCAGCCTTCAGCTGCAATTTCAAAATTTGGCAGGGTGTTGTTTGTTTGAGTGGACAATTGTTGTGACTGTTATTCTTTATTACATCTCATTT